ATAATTGTCTTGACAAGACGGAGGACTGAGGAGACTCTGTGGAATGTCTTGAGTGTTTTCCTTGTCAAAATATAAACTAAACATAAGAATGTGTTGAGAATCGCGTTAAATTAACGTTTGTTGTCAACTGCAATTTGCTTTTCAATTTTAACGAGCTAAATTTGTGAGATCCGGTTTATAATGTGGATTTTATCTCGCAAACTACATGTGGTCGAGAGACATTGGAAACCACTTATTGTTAGTGAAAAAGTTTGATAAAAAGCTAGTAGAGAAACAGGTGGTTTCTCCGACATTGTTCGCCTTCATTTTTGCGCGCACACCAAAAACGCACAAGAATCTTTCGAATTCGCCACGGTTGAGAATGACTCTGGAATACTTCGTGAGAATGTCAGGAACCATGATACGCTCATATCTCATGAAAGGAAAGAAGCAGAAGTTTGGTTCGACCCTGTCGACGGTAATCGATGTTTGTATTACTTTCATTACTTTCTTAGATTTTCATAGAATTATTAAAAATACAATTCTATTCTTCGCACGAATTTACATTAGCAAATTGTCATTACGATTTAAACTAAACGTAAACCATAAGCTATATACATTACATCAACTATGTATTATCTTTATTTATTTATTTGTACACAATTAAACATTGCGGATATAATTATTTGCACTGTAATACGAAACCGGTATTTATATGAAGACATTACGATAATAATTAGATAATTATAAAAGCCACGTAATTCGCATCAAATTTGCTTTTGCAGCATCTGTATTCCTCTCTCGCTATTCTAATCAAGTCACATTGTTTACTCGCGTTTATCAGCGCTATCAAGCCTTTGTAATACAAACGTATACTCATCCTATCTACCACGAAATGGCGCATATATTCTGTACCGGTATCGATCGCAGTACCACATAATCCGAAATGCGGATGAATGCTTTTCTCGAACTGACCCGTTATAAATAACAAATAAAACTGTATAATGCAGGAGCCTGGATAAAAGCTTTCTCTTCGTTGAAACACATTATGAGCGAATACGTTCTACATTATGATTAACGTGACCTAATTTTCAGATGGTACTTCGAAACGCGAAAATGTGTCCAATTGCTTTCATAATGGATTATTGTCTTCGATATTGGATGAAACTAGTTCTGGAATAAATTTTATTTTTGAATAATTTATACAATGTTTACCTTTTACATTATATCGAAGTGTTTAGCATAAAATTAGTACACGAATAACTAACTGTCAATTTATTCTTGTCGTTAAAGAAGATTTTAAATGTGACGCTTAAATTTCCTGTTTTATTGCGCTATGTGCAAAATTTATGAGGAGGATCGTTATTCAGATGACGCAGAAAATATTCTCAAGCTTGGCCCAAGAACTTTTGAGGCTGCTTTTAAAGGCTCTCATTATAGAAGCCGCGGATACACATTTCACTTGCACGCACATCGGGTACATATTTACGCGGGGAAAACATGGTTCCGTCATGAGTCTGCAAATATTAAATCCGGCTTCGAGGAAGTCAGGCTATCGAAATGAAAAGATGTAGCCGCGAATTGCTCCTCATAAATGGCATCGTGTGAATTTGAACAGAAATAACAACTAAGACTTTAGTAAGACTCTCATTGTGAGAAATATATTTAAATTTCAACGGGCTGGAAAAAGAGCTAGACATTGATGTAGTAGTGCGTCAGTTTCAAAGAAAAATAATTTTTATTAAATTGTGCACAGGGTATAATTTTTTGTACGATATCGAGTAATTAATAAATAAATCTTAATTTGAAATTTTATTTTTAATAAACACATCCTTTTTTTAATAAACTCCAATTTACTGATAATAATAGGGACCATAATGGAGTTTGAATAATTCAGATAAGATCGATCGACCGGCAAGCGAAAGACTTGATTCTCGATTCAGTGACTTTACCTCGATAATTTTCTCACCTATCTTCTTTGAAGGGAACGGAGGATTTATTTAAAATATAATCTTTCAAATTGCGATTTATTTAATTACTTGGCATCGTACCAAAGGAACTTTCTCCGTGCACTACTAATTCGTTACAATGAGAATTAGTTGTCCTTGAAATTGACGTATACCATCTGAGTCTTTCTAGTCCATTAAAATTTAATTATATATTGAACAGAAATATTCTTAGACTTTCACATCAATCTTTATTGTTAATTTAACATGCATAAAATTTATTCAAGCAATTCTTTACAAAAATTCCGCTAAAATGCAGCGAATCGGATAAGTTGTTGAAGAAAAAAAATTCCTTGTCGTTGCGCTCGCAATTTTTCACCGGACTTATTTTCATGCTATTTTTCCTGGTTCGTTGAATGCTGATAGATAAAATAATCACATAACGCAGCAACTAATTCCAGGTCATGGCGCGCGGTAACTACGTGACTAACGCCATCCTCCTTCGCGTATTCGATTACTTCGTCTCGATTGCATCCATGAAGTATCTTACATAGATGAGAAATTTTATACCGTTAATATATCCAGATAAATGATGATATCAATTAATTGCGATACAATTACAATTAATAGTTACGCCAAAGAAACTTTTCCTCCGTCTTTTAAGCTCTGCTATTTATCTTTCTAATTTTGAAACTTATTTCCTAATACATAAAAGATAATTGACTAAATAGAAAATTATAAAGAAAAAAGAGAATCACAAAACGAGATAATCAAAAATATTGATTTATATATAGCATATTTTTAACGATTAATTATATAGTCCGATTTATTTGTGTGTGCGTTGTGTATGTGTAATGTATATATCTTTTTTGACGTGCTATAAATCTATTTCTTTCGTAAGAAATATTTCTTAAAGGACTACACTAATTATTGCGATAACTTCGGGTCATTGGAATGAGGTCATCCTCACAACAACCCTTCTCACTTAGTATCAACTATATGAATAAAACATGACTTAGCTGAATTTACATTATCGCGGCTGTCTCTGCGAACCAACCAGCGAGTTTCTATCTCACCTCCCCGCCTGACTATATCCCTTCTATCAGATGCAAGCTGATAATAAAAAATCGATAAAGAAACCCAAGGAAGAGACCCAAGCGTTAGCTTACTTCTCTTTAAAAATGTCTACAACAAGACACATTACTTTGTTATTAGTTGTTATTAGATGGATATATTCGCGCGCGATATCAAGCTAATCGGATAAAATGAAAAAAATAACTACAATCGCTGTTCACGACATTGAATTTTTGCTAAAGCAAATAATTAAGTCAATTAACAAAACCTTTAAATATCTAAAAAAATATATATATTGATATTTAGAGAGACAGTTAAGAATTAATTCGCGAGATCAGTTTGCGCAAGTAGAGAATGCATGTTGATAAAAATACTTGTTCCGATCATTCAATAACATAATGATGTCGCTCGTTGAATGTCCCATTCTCCAAGCATCAACAATGCATATCCTATTTTCCATTTTTATCCGCTTATCGGTCGTTTATTGACAGGGGGTGGATAATAATAAAACGATGGTACACGCATGTACATAGAGAGAAAAAGGGAGCAAACTGCGACTTCATCCCGGGTAAGATCATCAGTTTGTCGTGCGAGACTCTCGAGTCCGGGTTATCGGTATCGACTTTTTCCTACAATATTTCTCGTTCGACCAAGGTAGACCGATGACTCTTGACGGCTTAGTGTTTTGCATACCTCCCGACACTTGGCGCGCACCAAAATGTGCCAGTTAAGGGTGTGCTACTACCCTGACACATCGTTTCTCACGACCAGCAACGGCAGCCGGCCAATCCCGAGCTAATCGAACGAACGGCCTCCCTTGGTCGGGCTGCAATGCATCAGTGTTCAGCTGGCGCTCGGCTGGCGCTCTTCCGGTTCTTCCCGCTTTTACGCGCGCCGTAAACAAGCGTTCTCGATTTACAAGTGCCAGGAGGATCGATAACAAAAAACATTAATCTCTGTTTTTTGAGAAAAAGAAAGCCTCGAACTGTTGAGCTGTTTACCAACGCAAATCGATTAAGTTTTGAAGTTTTGAAACTTCTATACAGTGGTCTTGTAACTTGTTACGTTGACGTTTCGTGTTTTGGTGGTTCTATCGCTTTCACAGAATCAATCGCGCTGCAAATTGGTTGTCGTCTGGAATTACGACGGAATATATTGAGAACATGACGCTTTGCTAGAATCGCGGATTACGGTGACAACTAAGTGGTTAACACTAACGCGAAGCCTGTAAGCTCGTTCTTCGGATACTTGACTGTAATCCCTTCAGTGGGGAAATAGCAACTTGATAGTATAGGAGAGGACGCGATGTTTGCGAAAATGTGGGGTGACGTGATTCACAAGATCCGCTTTCGTCTATTGGCCAGATTGGATTGACGAAATGGATGTACGAGAAATTTTTTAAGGATCGCTACCACTTGTTTTCTTTTATATTTATATTTTCCATCATCATTTAAACTGTTTGCTAATCTGTTCTTCGCAAGAACGCGCACGATTTTACACGGCAGAGTAATATAATAAGTAACTCGGAACGCTTTTGCGTTAGATCAATCAGCAAACAGTTGCTTCAGCATTTTTCCTCCATGTCTCATAAGTGACGTGACATGATCAAACGTCATCCAACTTCGTGCGCGACGTTCCATAAGTGTCTTTTACCGTGAGACATACTTTAATACGAACGACGCGTATCGCTACGTCGTGTAACGATGTTGCCAGAATGTTCTCCGTGAATGACGTACCGATGGAAAACTGCCATTTTCTGTTATCTTATACCTCTCACACAAATATGACGTAAATTTTGTGTACACAGAAAGCTCCGTGTACGTGGATCGTTCGTTGACTTTATATATAACATGCGATCTTTTTTCTTATTAGTCGTAAAACATTTTGTCCAGCGTAATGGATCTCTTTTTCTTCTTTTTGACAGTTTATTTAAAGAGAAAGGATTTAAAAGAATTTTTGAGGGAACTTTGAAACTGAAAATTTTAATGTAATCTGCCGCAGGTACTGTCCCTCGGAGCAGACGTTCTCCCAGAGTACAAATTACAATCCCCCAGAATCCACAAGTGGACCATATTACACTATTCGCCGTTCAAGGCGGTCTGGGATTGGGTTATATTGTTACTCGTGATGTACACCGCCATATTTACGCCATATGTCGCCGCCTTCGTTCTGTCGGATCCGGATTATAACACCAGAAAGAATAAGAAGTACGGTGACGACCCCATCGTCATTATAGACTTGATAGGTAAGTCATTATTTAAAATAATCTTTTTCTTTTCTTTTATTTTTATTTTATTTATTTTGAAAATAACTAAAATTGTATGACAACATTATATTAAAAAAATAAATAATACCAAGTCATATGCAAATTGCAAATAAAATAATGATAGTAATGATAATAATATTATTTTTTTTAATAGTCAATAGTTTAATAAGTACACTGAAAAAGAAATTTTGTATTATTAACAAAAGTTCTTTTCGAAAATGGACGAAACAGAATTACTGGTTGAATCTATCAGAATTTCTTTTAATGCAACAAATATCTTGTTTGCACAAACAACTGATTTCTTGTGCAAACAAGATGCTTGTTGCATTGAAAGGAATTCTGGTCGATTCAACTAGTAATTCTGTTTCGTCCATTTTCGAACCGAATTTTTGTTAATGCAACAAAATTTTTTTCCGGTGTACTATAAAAATTTCACTTTTATTAATTCTATATTTAAAAAAAATAAAAAAACACTCACGCTTAAAATAAGATTAAAGTTTTGACGTTGAGAAGTAGAATCGACTCTTAGAATAAAGTTTCAAATTTGATATCGAGGTCTGCGAGCATAGAATCGTGTAATGTTTCATCCAATGTAGCTGGGACGTGGATAACATGTCTCGACTGTCTGAAACAATAGAGTGGATAAAGAGACAATAGTGTGAAAATAGAACGAAGAAGAAATTGGAGAAATGTCTGAACGGACATTTCTAGAGATATTATCTTCTATTATTCAGCCTTATAGTGCGATTGGTTTTAGTTTTGTGGAGATTTTTGAAACTTTAATTATAGATTTGATAATTGGAACGAACAAAAGAGAAAAGAATTCATGCAACACTAGTATCTATATATATTTTAATATATAATATATAAAAAATTTAATAGATTAAATTTTTATAAAAAATATAAAAAAATATCGATTTCTTTGCAAAGTACGAATACAAAATACGTTCTCATTTACTTTTTTAGTCGACGTCACCTTCATCGTGGACATTATTATAAATTTTCGCACGACGTTCGTCAACAGCAACGATGAAGTGGTGTCCCATCCTGGAAAGATAGCCGTCCATTACCTGAAGGGTTGGTTCATCATCGACCTGGTGGCTGCCATTCCTTTCGACCTTCTACTCGTTGGCTCGGATACTGACGAGGTAAGTTTTGTCGCACGCTTTGCATTCCCTAGATCATATTTTTTTCCAAGCCGGATCTGGTGTTTACGGGATTCACGTCTCTTATGCCAATTTGCAGCTAGTCGTTCGCGAGCAAAAATTCTTAAGAATTCGCGATATGTTTTATGTATGTTCGCGCAAGTCGTCGCGTGTGTGTTAATCGCGTAAGCTGGAATTCACAGACGAGAGAAAATGGTGCGACAATATAAAAGTAATTTCGTAACGTAAGAAGTGACACTCGCGGACGCCAGATCGTCGGGCGAGTTTTCTAGAGAGAGAATGTCGGTGTTAGTTGGTAAATATATATGATTAGGATGACATGCCGAGCCCAAGTTACATGCCCATAGATGTGACTTTGACCGAACTGGTGCTTAGTTCGTTTCTTCCTATTTTCGATCATTTCTCTCGGTGTTGAATGATTTCGTTTATACATACCTTTGTCGAGAATTAGTCGAGTCGTCGTGTTAATGTGCACACAATGTATACGTACGGACGGACGAGAAACGTTTGAACTCGTTTTCTCGCTGCCCGGGACGATTTCACACAACGTCGAACGTGTGGTACACGTGCGTCGAAGAATCAATCGCGAAGTCTCACGTTAAAATCGGATTTTCGCTCCAAGTCCAGATGCGCGTTAACGACATGATGCTAATATAAACATGAGCTGAACGAATCAACGCGTCGACATTTAATGGCAATTATACGTCAAGACGACATGTGTAATTCAGCATAAGTGAATAATCCCTTTGTCTGGCTCGTACCTGTACGCACACGTATGTTTGTTTGCATACACTGTTCATAAATATGTAAGTAAATATAATCTGTCGCTGTGAAAATTTCTGCTCTGATTGTCAAAGTATTAGACTATATACAGACTTCGTCAAGATTCTCTTCTACTTTTTTTTAGTCGTGTGGTTTTTTTTTATTCGTTTTTTCGTTTAAACGATTCTTTTGGATTTTCTATCATGAGTTGATCTTTATTTGTCTCTCTCCCTGGATTTTGTGAACGGTGGCTAATAAAAGAGGTCTATATACGCGTAAGAAAAATGTGGTGAACGTATAAATAACTCCTCTTCCGTGATTAATTTAATTTATCGCGCGTTCCTGAAAGAGACAAGAATATTACTTATATCCCCAATCAAGGTTTACTCAATAAAATAATTAACTGAGTCATCCGTCTCGGCAATTTGTTTAAAACGTGACCTATATGATTCTTCCGACATTCCTATTTTTAAGCGAACAATCAAACAAATTTAAAAAAATGAAATTATAAATTTACCCTCACGAATATGAAGAGAACAAATTTTAACCTCAGTTTAACGTTTTCGTAGCTCGGCTTGGACAAGGACGAGGTTAGTTGACACATATATACACGCAAGAGATTCTTTCTCAATGACGTGTCTTTTTCCGTTATTACTTAATGCGGATTACAATTTTTACACCGTTTTTACACCAAACGATTAAAATCACCACCGCAATCACGATTTTTTTCCTACTAACTATTTCTTCTCTTTATCTCTCTCTCTCTCTCTCTTTCTCTCTCTCTCTCTCTCTCTCTCTTTTTCTATCTCTTTCTCTGTTTCTCTTTCTCTCATGTACAAACCGCTTAAACACATGTTACACATCTCACATACTCTTACAATTAGCACAGTTTCTCTTGCAATATAAACCGTCCATCCCCTTTCGACCACGGCGATCAAAAGTCCTCACGCGATACGTACATACACCTCACTCGATTACTGCAACCCCATTTTATACCGAGGAATATCGAATAAAGTTGATGGCAATTGTCTGCCTCTGCTCTGATTTTCTTCGGTTAGGTAATTTCACATATCTACTTTGAAAAATATAACAAAAGAGTAATATAAGAAAGCAGAATTTCCATCAACTCTATTCTTTTTGCGTATAGGATATATTAAAATTATCGTGAAAGAATGTGCATGTTTTTCTCCCTTTTGAGATTACTATACGAAACCATATAACGCTGATACGCTTTTTCGATCGGTCTTTTTGTGCAAGATTTAAATTGCACAGAGTTACATCGAGCATATTAAACGTATTGCATCTCTATGCGATCCCACAAACTTGGTTCGCGCGTTGCAGGAATAATTATTAAAGTCAAAGTAATATTAACGATTGCATATGCACGTGTGCGCCAATGCGAGTTTTCGAAATTTACATAATATATTGAATGGAAAAAATTAATTAATATTCATTTATGTAGAATTTTAATGTAGCAGATGCGCGCGTTTAATTTTTATCCGAAACTCTGAATTTGAATTTACGAAACAGGATTGAAATTTCTGTTGAAAATTTATATCAGATTTATCCTATAACAGAAATGATTTGCGCCATTCAATATCTGATGAGAAATTATAGCTATAGCTTATAATTATATTTTCTAATTAGAAACTTTCTTATCAGATATTGAACGTCGAGTCGCGTATACGATCGCACGATTTTCGTAGTATTTCTACGGCGAATTTCATTTATTTTATCTACATTGTGTTTAGTCTTCTTGCATCCAGCTTGTCGAATTATGTTTCTAGTAAGTAAATCGATTTTGGGCTTGCTTTAATCGCTCGAGTCTCGTGTCCTCTTTGGGGTTGCAGAACGAGCAACGCTTATTTATCGATTGCCTTGGTCGTATTTAGCAAAATTATATATTTATCGAATCTACAAACATGCACTTGATCTTACATGCTTCCGTGAATTTATCAATCTTAATCCGATATGCAAATAATGATACTTCTTCTAAATTAATCAAAGATTGATTGCGTTTTAATGGATTTCGAAAGATGCAAAATAAAATGTAAAGGATTTTTATTGAATCGGACAAAATTTCAAATCACTCTGAACGGGAAAAACTGCATTGTCAGAAATGATTACAGGATGTGAATTTTGAGATCACAAAATACACACATACACACAATCGGCTACGAACACGTACATTAATAAACGCGTATAATAACGAACAATAACACGATATGAAAACACTTTCGGATTAAAAATATCTCATCGCGATTCCGTCAGCAATTACGCTTCAGCTGTTTCTTCTTTCCATTTTGTTCTAATACTATATTGGTTCCATTATTTTGTTATCGAGCTTCTTTTTATATGTTCTCTTATTATTACGCCTTTTGGTTATAAGCTGTATAAGATCGTACTCGACTGAGAAAGCGAAAAATTTTCGGATCGATCATTTTTATTCAAGTTAACTTGCGTGCGTGTGTGTGTGTGTGTGTTTATTTTTCCACGCTTAACAGAGGTTTACATTTTATCTATAGCGAATGAAAGTGCAAACAAATGATGGAATCATTTCTTACTAACAATAAGATTCAAACTTTGCTCCCCATAAATAAAAATCATTTCTGATTCTATAAATTATATTATTAATTCAAATTTTAATATCAAATATTTTTCGACGGAATTAATTTTTAAAAAATTATTCTCTTTATATATATATGTATAATATTTGCGCTTTCTATTGCTATGAAAAGTGTTACGCGCTTTAATTACTTAAGAACTTTTGTATACATAAGTGATTTTTACGTGTTTTCTGCCGCTTATGCGTTTTCCTTTTAACGTGCAATGAGTCGCGTGTGTGTTGAGAAAACAACATGTTTGAAAGACGATACTTTTATCCGTTTCAAATGTATTTATAACATGCTGAGAGCTTCAAACTCACGCGAATATTAATCCGAAGATTAATCGGATCGTTTCGAATGAAACACGATGGAATTTGCATGATAGTCATAAAAGTATCGAGCTCGATCTCTTTAAATGTAAAAACGTTTAATCAATGTTACACATTCACTGTTACTGTTTCAATGTTTGAAAATAATTTTTCTTGAACGGAGAGCTTTCGCATTCTCGGCAGGTAAGAATGAAGAAGAAGCATGGCAGAAATCTCCGTTTCTTTTTCTTCTACATTGCCTAATTAATTTCAATAAGTATAGCTACCTTTTTTTATTTTGGCGATTGCTTGCCAGCTGATTTGCAATTGTTATCATATTTTATTTCAATTTTATAGATACATTAATGTAGCTATTGTAATTTGATGGAGACCCTGATTTTCCATTTTTCTCGAAACTCTATAGGTATAAATTTAGAAAAAAAAACTGTTTCTATCTTTTCTTTTTCTCTTTCTCTCTTCGATATGAGTCGAGCTTACTTACAACAAGAAAGTCGTCACTTCAGTCGTCTCGAGAGATGTAACATTTCAACAATAGCACAAAAAAACTTAAAAATTATCTCAATTTTTAAAATGTCAATTCGCGATTAAATTGAAGTAGGCGCGGCAAGTTTCAACTCTGATATTTGGAATTCGACCAAGTATCATGCGCGTGATATTCCGGCGAGTAATGTTCTCCGTTTCAGCGATTGATGTGCAACCGGAGTGACGACTTCCGGCGGGAGTGACACTTCCAACATGGAAATGGGGCCTTTCTAACGCGAATGTCATATATAATATCAGGTTTCTGATAAATGTCTGATCGTGCGAGGCACGTGTAAATGGAATGTAGTGGAAATGATAGACTCAATCTGTAGATATCGTGATTTTTACGACTTTGATCAATGCGAAAGAAACAGACTGTCTCTGTATCGAAAAATCGAAAACTAATTATATTAAAAATTAAGGATTCTAAAAGTGTCTCTCAGATTTTTTGTTTTATATATATGTCGCACATTTTGCTGCAGAAGCATGATTTATCTTTACACGAATTACACAAAGCAATTATGCGTTATATTTCGATAACGAAAACATCAGGCAAATGTATATGAGTAGTAACAGACGACGTTGAGTAAGGCCGATTTCTGTGTCTCGAAAGTGGAGACTGAAGAAGTGGCAAAAGGAGATGTCTCGCGGACAGAAAGATGGAAAAAATGACAAATTATTTTCAGACAACAACCCTGATCGGACTTTTGAAGACGGCCCGTCTATTGCGCCTCGTCAGGGTAGCCAGAAAGATCGATAGATACAGCGAGTACGGAGCTGCGGTTTTATTGCTCTTAATGGCCACCTTCGCCCTCATTGCTCATTGGATGGCGTGCATATGGTGAGTAGTATTTTTTTTACTTGTTTTTTAATTACATCTAGTATCAATACATCTCTTCAGCTGTGATCATTTTGAAGTTGGTTTTTGCTAAAGAAACATTTTTGTGAAAAATTCTCCTTTGCAAGTTAATTAAAAAATATGTGAATCGAAGCGATTTATTCTTGTAATATTCTCTGAGACATTCTGAATTAATTATAAGGCATATTACGTGGGTATTTCGCGTTTTTAAAGGTACGCCATAGGAAACGCCGAGAGACCGACCCTGAAGAGTAAAGTTGGTTGGCTGGATATGTTAGCCAACGACACGCATCAGTTTTATTTTCACAATAACACTGGTGGACCGAGTATAAAAGTAAGCCATCCGTTCTCGAGCTACGTTTTATTTGAAACGCTTTTCGCTTAACGATGTAACTTTTTCCAGAGTCGCTATATCACGGCGCTATATTTTACCTTCAGTAGTCTTACGTCCGTAGGCTTTGGGAATGTGGCACCCAATACCGACACCGAGAAAATCTTTACAATAATCGTCATGTTAATCGGATGTGAGTTGATAGATAATCGAATCTGTATATAGAGGCACTATTAAAGATGATATAATCAGTATTTAAAAAATAATTAAATAAAAATTTAAACAATAATAAAAATAAATGCTTTTTATAATGAATCTTTTATGAAAAAAAATAGTATAATATTTAGTATTCTTTGCGCGAAAAATATTCTTAAAATTCCCTTAACATTTGTTGTCAAATTTAATTTGTGCTGAAAACCACTAAATATTCACAAAATTTACTTTATGTAATGATGATTTTAGCCCTGATGTACGCTAGCATCTTCGGTAATGTATCGGCGATTATTCAGAGGTTGTACAGCGGCACAGCTCGATATCACACGCAAATGCTTCGAGTCAGGGAATTTATAAGATTCCATCAAATCCCGAATCCCCTTCGCCAGCGATTGGAAGAATATTTTCAACACGCGTGGACGTATACGAACGGCATCGACATGAACAGTGTTCTAAAAGGATTCCCCGAGTGCCTTCAGGCTGACATCTGTCTTCATCTCAATAGGAATCTTTTAAACAATTGCCGAGCCTTCGAGGCGGCCAGTCCAGGCTGTTTAAGGTAATTATTCCTTTATTTAAAAATATATTTAAAAAATTTTGCATCCTTGTTTTAATAATATATGACTCTTAATTGATGACGCGTAATTAATTTGCATGATCTTTGTTTTTTTTTTCGCGAAACAGGGCATTATCCTTAAAGTTTAAGACGACACACGCGCCGCCGGGTGATACTTTAGTTCATCGCGGAGACGTCCTGACCTCCCTGTATTTTATATCTCGCGGGAGTATAGAAATCTTAAAGGACGACATTGTGATGGCCATTCTGGGCAAGGACGATATATTCGGCGAGAATCCGTGCATTTATCCGACGGTCGGAAAATCGTCCTGTAATGTTCGCGCCCTTACTTATTGCGATCTTCATAAAATCCATCGAGATGATCTACTTGATGTTCTGGCGCTTTATCCAGAGTTCTCCAATCACTTCAGCCAAAATCTCGAGATTACTTTCAACATGCGAGATGTGAGTACTTCTTCCTATTACTCTATATCTTAATGTTGTAATATAGTTTGGTTTCTTTCTCTTTGTTTTACTTCGAAAATGTTATTACTATATTATCTATCATCAAATTTATAAAAATAAAATATTTATATAATTACATTATATTTTATAATTTTAAGAATAAATCTTGAGAATTTTTTGCTCTGTTATTTTACTTTCAAATTTACTTCACGATTATTATTTAAATTAACTGAATAATTTACATCCGCGCTTAGCTGATATAATTGCAGCAGTCCAATTCGCGCGAGTGACACTAAATTATATCATTTCATCTCAGGAGGAACAGGCTGGTGTCGATCCAATATCAGCAAGGTTTCCTATCAGCACTCCGACTGACGTCGACGTCGACGCCAGGAGGTTCGCTTTCCGTCCACCAAGATATCGTCGAGGACCCGGTGGTCCTGGCACAAATCTTATTCCCACAGGTCGACAAGATTCCTTGCAAGACGATCAAGATGACTAGTAAGACCTTATTCTTTTTATCCGTCGATATTTATTTCTCAACGTATTATAATTGATTATGATTTAATTGAAATAATAATTGATATTGAAAGAATAAATTTAGCAAAACAAAAAATAATTATCAACAAATTATTGTATTTAGAAATTAAAAAAAGATAAAAATACAGTGTTTGTTGAATATGGATACATTGATTGAATCACATGTGCTGTAATATATCCTCAATTTTATTTTTATCTGTTACAGTGATAAAGGCAGTGGCCATGGGATCTTAGAATTCAGCACAGACAAAGCCGGTCAGGATGTAACACCGTTGAATCTGGAATTCGACGAGCCCAAGCAGAGAAGTTCAACCTTAAATTCGATAACTGGTGAGAACGATTTGTATATTTCTTTCGATTTTCTCGCTTCGAGAAAACGATATTACGATCTGTCTTTCACTATCTCTTTTTCTCGTGTTTGTTCCTAATATCCTATTTGAGGAATGTTGTTCTTTGCACGATGATATAGAACCTTCATAAAGCAGGATTTTTTGTTAATACGATCGAGTTTCGGATTTTTTCAATATTTTTTTTTTTTAACTAATAATAGCAGAATCCCCTGTAAAAATTGAAAACTGGATTGCAAACATTTGCGCTCGCATTAACGTTTCACATATAGCGCAAAATGTATTTATAAATCTCAGCGTTAAATTCTCGCTCGATTTAGATTTCATTTATCTAGTATTACATTGAATAAAGATAAAGTATCATATAAATACATTTAGCGCTAAATGCGCGACGTAAATGTGAATCTAGGATCAGTTACTCTCAGATTCGCTTATAATTTGTAAAACGATATTAAAGCCCTATTTTGTTCGTAGGCTTTTTAAAATGTATTTTGCCTCCAGCTCGATGTAGTTCATATTATATTATCGATTCTTTCGGTCTACTTCTTGTTGGCGTTTTATTAACGTTATATGATTTTCCTGTCATAGAGTTTTTCTTCCTTTCGTTCGATTTCTTTCTCCCCTTATTTGCGTATTGCTTTTCGTTTGAATCCCAAGTTCGATAACACCTTGAAACCTGGTTGTTCAGGCATGCTAACCCATCTCAAGCGCAGCATACCGGATCTACGTCAGCACAAGATTCACCTGCAGCCGCTTACCAGCCACGATTACCTCGCCAAGCAAAGTAAGTATACTTTGGGTATTTCGAATATTGTCGAAGTAGAGTGGCACGATTTAAATCGTCCCCGACCTGCAGAGATCCGCTGCACCGTTCGCTCGCCAGAATCCAGAAGAGAACGTATGACCGTCGATTGACTTATATCCCTTGATCGCGGTGCACGTCGTAGTGAAACATCCCCAAACGCGGGATAATATATATTTGTGTGTATGTGCGATAAAAATATCCCCTTTCTCTCTCATTGTCTCTCTCTCTCTCTCTCTCTCTCTCTCTCTCTCTCTCTCTCTCTCTCTCTCTCTCTCTCTCTCTCTCTCTCTCTCTCTCTCTCTCTATTTCTCTTCATCTGCACATGCTCGCGATATTCACTGGTGGCATTTAAACCTAGTAACCACGCCACTGACGAAAGCGGCGCGCCGGAGTTCCGCTACTGGCGAGAGTAGCCTCAGTCACAACGTCGTTCATCCCACTTCGACAACGTCAAGCCACTACACCACACCGTCGCCCCCGCAGCATCCTCATTCCCATGGTAGGGGCTCATTTCTCTTAATCTCGCAGTAACTTACGCATGACTCTTTCGTTAATTTTCACTTGTCATTTCGTCGATATATAAAATTCCGCGCGTGCCTTGTACATATTATCCATCTCGTGTACATTCATTGTTCCACCGGTCCTTATTGTGATGAGATGTAACGCGAGTTGTGTACGCAAAAAATCGAATTAATCAAACTGTCGCGAAATGAATACCAAAATCGTTCTTTCAGGCGACTTCCAGAGCGGCCCGGGTCGGCCCGTGGAGGAGATCAACGCCAGGATCGATCTGTTGTCGCGACAGGTGTCCTCGCTAGAGCACGCGATGGCCGGCGACATCAGATTGATTCTGAGCTTGCTCCAGCAGACGCTCAACTCATCCAGAGAGAGCTCCAGCATCGAGATGATGCCGGGAACAGCGGGCGCGAGACAGAGCAGCCGGGCACCGGCCCTGGTCCAGAGATCGGCGAGCGAGCCGCAACCGCCGACGGTTCCGGCGAGCAACGGAAACGGAAAGATTCAGCCCAGCACGTCGCACGGCTTGTTCAGGTAAGCAAAAGCATCGGAATCTCGCGCGTGAAGTTTCGCTTCCAATTATCCCGCTAGTCGGATCGCAACGCGTTCGGATAGAGGATTTACGATGCGTAATCCGCGAATACGGTAGACTCCGACGAATTAAAACCTGAGAGAACCGCAGGAAGTAATCCATATTTTATTATTCTTGTGAAGCCTTCTTTCGAAATCCCTGGATCAGTTGCATTTGATTTCGGCGTCTTTTATTTTGGAAAAGTTGGACAAGTGCCGAAGGTGACCATTATTATCACGTTATTCTTCTTTGAAATCCTTTGTGCGAGCAGTGTCACGGACGCGTCGAGTTAAGCGATAATTAAAAACATATGTATGTACTCATAATGTTGAGAAATTTACATTTTTCCTTTTCGATCACAAGCATGATATTATAAAATTCAAAAATTATAAAAATTAATAATCGAGTCGCGCTAATGACTGACATCGACAATTTTATGTAAAACAGAGACGTAGATTTTCTTCTGAAACATATAACTACATATATCAATATTGACTTCATATCTTTATCTTAGAGCATTGTATTTTTGGTACACTCTTTCCGTAGATACATTTCGAACGTCGCACGCTTTGATACTTATAAAGTTCATAATATGAATAAATCTTAGAAATGCAAGAAACATTGAGTTGAGATCAAAATAATACTTTTTTTTATTAGAAAGTATTTCTCTAATTTTCGCACGTACTTCTCTTTTACACTTTTCTGTCTGTATACTTGCTCTGACATAATCTCTGCATAATCTCTGCATAATATATGTAGGCATTCTTATTCGGTTCGAAAGCTGTCGAAGAAAACTTGGCTCTCTCTTAGCAGTAGTAACAACAATGTTGGTTAACTTTAGCTTAATCATTTTTTTATATCTTTTACATGTAGTTAATTAAACTATATAGTTGAAATTGAAAAGACCGGCCTTCTTTGATATGATCAATTCTTCACTCTTAATTATCTTTCGCGCATATTTGAATACATTACACTCATCATAATCATCATCATCACCATCTACCATTCGTGTAAACCAATCGTAGCTAAGAAAAATGGTCGATGTCGGTCCCGATTACATCGGTAGCCCCGAGGGCGTTGTGACACTGTTTGGAATTAAACTTAGAGGATTAGAAACCTGTCGAATATTCCACTGTACATATAACCACGTACGCTTCAAGTATTATTATCTCGCTCAGCTACCATTAGCGGTTCTATATTTACTTCTACTTACGAGAAAGCTCGCGCGTGCTTCCGCACGTCGATCAGCTGATACGAAAACGACATTCCTCTCTATAGTAAACCTCCCACGAGGGAGCCGACCTCCACGTCATCGGGCACGTCGCGGCTGACCGTCACGTCGGAGACGTCCGCGCTCGCAACTGCGTTGCAAACGGCACTGAACACCCGCACTGGACCCACGAGGTCGCAGAGCCAGCCGGTTGATCTGGCCGTACCTATCAGCACGCAGCAGCAAGCTCATGCTTGGCACAGTCAGCCCGCCGCCTTCAGAAGGGGTGAATACCGGAGTGGGTAGGTATAGTTTGGTAAAGGGTACTTTTCGCCCGAAAGATTTTCTGGACGTAGAACAGAGAACTACACAACTTCGACTTTAAATAATACATTCGACTGTTGATGGTAGCGCCTTTTCCATCGTTTTCGCGATTCGTTCTAAGAGTTTCCTACTGTCAGGGATGTGCAGAATGGGTGTCCAAATTCATTTAAAATATTAAAAATGCAAAATGCTTTTTAGGTACCCATTTAAAATAGGAAATGAAAAATAGGAATTTTTCCAATAATTTTTTGAAATAAATATAGTTTTTCCATATGTATATTTAAATTCTTATATTTTATTATTTCCTTTTTCTAATCATTACTTATATATTTTTTAATTCTTATTTCTTTATTAAATTTTTATAAACTTCATAAACTTCATAAGCTTTTTTATAAACTCTTTAAACTTTCATAAACTATATATTTTTAATATAAAAAATTTTTAATACAAAAAACAAAAAATTACATAAATATATATACTTGTGGAATTATAAAAAAAGTCTTTATTGTTTTCTACAGACATTTACTTAATGGACTTCTTTGATAACATTTTGATTATTATGCATACCTATCCTTGATATCTCGATTAATTTTTGGTTTGCAAGAAAAATGAATAATAAAAACGATATAAATGTAAATACAAAATAGTTTTTGAAAACATACGTATATTTTAAATGCAAAACAAGCATTTTACATTCCCGCATTTGCATCACTATTTCAAATAATGCGCATCCCTATTTCCAAGTTGAACTTTTGGATCGGAAAACGCGCTACCACGCGTCGGTTGCCAATCGCGAGCTCCGAAATGCCTTTTATCCGCGTTTGGTAACCGACGCACGACGCCGATCGGAACGACGTTACTAATCGCGTTGACGAAAGCGTGCCCTGCGACAGATACAGCTCGTTCAATAAACGCTCGGAGCCGGAGGGCGAGGATCCCTGGAGCTGCGTGGTCTCGGAGGAACGAGGTGCCGGTGCCCAGCGTCCTCGTAGCGGCGACTCGCGCAAGGACTCGTCGAGCCATCGGAGTGGCAACGGTACCGAGTCTGGGTCGGGTCAGCAAGGTCGGTCAGAGGGTAGACAGCAGGAAGGCAGAGGACAGCAGGCGAGCGGGTCGCGACAGCAGGACTCCTCGAGACAGACCAGCGAAGACATGTCCTGGGAGTTCACGATAAACGAGGCGCCGATCGCCAGGCTCGAGTCCCTGGATGAGCTCGATCAGGATCACGGTAGTTAAGGGAAAAGTAGGGAAACGTGATTTGTCAGCTGACAGCTATACGACATCGCCGTGAGGATCGGCTCGTCCTCTCGAGGGAACGACATTCGCGGAAAGTCGCGATGAGAAGCGCGAGCCGGGGCCGTTTGATCCCTCTCTCGAGGGAATCTCGTTTTTAATTCGATCGAGCAACTTAGTCGACGCGACGCGACGCTTATCTCCAAGTTAAATCATTACAGCCGAGCCGCGAGCAACGTAACGCGACGCCTGCAGGTCGACCTTAGAGCGTGTAACGTTGAAGGAAGCGTAGAGGGTTGAAAGTAGGAATTCTCCATTTGCTAATATCTCGTTTACATTATAAAGAAAAATTAACAAGATCGACATAGCGAATTGAGGTATAATAAACGTTGTCTATACATCGAGATGATTTTTTAAACTTTTTATTCGAATTATGATATCAAAAATATAAGGTACTTGTAATAATAATATTGCACGAATTGTGAGAATTATAAGAGTATTATGATAGAGAGGTTTCGAAAAATTATATATTACGATAAGATATTAATGTTAAGCGTTGAGAAAAAAATCGAAGAAACATTTGACGTTTTTTAAAAATAAAAATATTAAACTATGAACTATATGCTTCCTCCGGCTTGCGTACGCTCTAGAAACATCAACGGACCTGTAAGCGCAAAGATCATTTTTTTTGTACTCGTAATAGCGGCGAGAGAAATCTGCTGCGAAATGTACATTTTCGTATAATGTAAATGTACCTTTATTTTTATTTGCCAAGAGTATCTCTCGCGTTATACCGATGACATGTAGCGGCCGTCATGTCTCGTTTCGTCATCTCTGCTAATCCGGATTTAAACTTACGATTGCTTATTAAAAAAAAAAAATCATCGTACGATTTTAGGCTCTTCAAACATATTCCGGCTTCAGGTCGACGAGCGCTTGTCTCTTCGGGATTCCCGACAGCAGTTCGGACAATTCGATATTCGTTTCTTCATATCGATTTTTTACGCGTCGAAGAGAAGCAAACGAAAGAAATATACCGCATCGCCAATTAGACGCCAATTATTTTACTCACACAAGATCGCAAATAATTATTTATATATATTTACACGTTGACACACTCGTAAGCGCTGTATATCATAAGGTAGGCACGATTAAAGGCGAAAGAAAAATGCGTTGAAAGTACATACATACATATGAAATCGCGGAGATTTTGACGGAGGACGAAATCGTGAACCAAGTGTTTCGTCTTGCGCGAGATTGAACGGTCAAAAAAATAAAAGAAATATCTAACCCGTTAGATATCGCATAGATATTCTCACAATAAACACACGACAAGTTTGCAATAATTAAACGTATGTTGAAAAAAAGATTAACGTTTTAGCTGATTTATTATGGTAGCACGAAATATTTTGGCAGCCTTCGATTCACGTTCCCGCCGCATTTCAATATTAAATTCGGTAGAAATGCAATAAATTTTCGTATCGATATCTCTTCGCTGGAAAGTGAAAGAGCGAAAAGTAGTTTTCGAGCAAATAGTCGCGATTTCTGGCGGGTTAATTAATTAAGACGATCGAATTAGGGCATCTTCTTTTTTATTCTTGCTTATATAGGCAACGTTAGACGACGGTATTAAGGTAACAATACTTAAGACAAGTTTCGCGGTGCGGAAAGATATTGTCACATAGTAATTTAAGCCGGAACTTCGGTAGAAAACACGAAAAGAAACAATTTTTTTTAGCCGCCATACAAAGTAATAGCCATGTCCTTTATACAGACAGAACGTGACAGGATGACGCCTTAGACGATTATCAAGATTCTTATAATTATGATTGTTATATTACGTAATTATTATTATGATGATTACTATTATTATTAGTACTCTTATGATTATTATTGTTATTATTATTATCACTATTGTATAGCAATGAAAGAAGCGCGAGGGAAGAAGGGAGATGAAGAAAATAACACCGATGACATAATGCCTACGCAATAATATATATTTCTACATATATATACATATACAGAGAGGTGAAAACATATAGATGTATATATATATATATATATATATATATATATATATATATATTCTATAAATTTTTTACAAAGCATTTCGAGTCGCTATTGCTCCTAAACGTGTATAAACGTTGGTTTCTCTTCCTCTCTTTTCGTTTCTTGTCCTACCGCAAATATCTCTATTTCCGTCACTAATGATCACGAATCGATTTAAAAGGCTGGAAGACAGCGATCGATCGATCCTGGGAGTCTTGTCTCGTGGCTCGGGACTTTACGTGAATTTTTACATGTGCGATTTGCAACGCGATCGAGACGAGAGAATAAGAAAGAGAAAGAGAAAGAGAGGAGTATCGGATAAGAGATTAATATGGGAATGGCACTTCGAGATCGTTCACGGATCACCGATCGCTGATCTGTTTGTTCTTTGCTCAGTATTCTAGACTGTAACCGAATACATTCGATGTAAAACGATTAAACACACACGATTCATTAGTTAACTCTCTGCGGTGATGCAGTGGCGCAGCGCTAATAATGAAAGAGGGTGGAAAGAGGGAACGCAGCTTTCAATTTCGCAGATAGCGATTTTTTGATTGTTAAATTACCAGTAGTACACACGCAGCACACGTGGATTCTCGCACTTAGGTACACGACAGGAGTTGTACGAATTTAGATGCGATCCTTTATAGGAGGACGAGAGCCCGGCGTGGTCCTGGCCGAGGACGACCACGTTCGCCGCACGAAACCTGTCTCGAATCACTGACGTATGACAGAAAAAAATACATATCATTGCCTGGCCTCTGTCGCCGTATCAATTAGAGAAATTAAATCCGGGGGCTGGTTCCTCCCATTCGATGAATAATACAAGTTTGTAAAAAGATACATCACTCCTTAACTGGTATGGCATTATCTATTAGAAACCGCATTATAAACATGAAGAATTTTTATTTCCTTTATTCGTTCCTTATACAAATAAATATCTGCAATTTTTTTTGTTTTTATTTATTTTGGAAATATAAATCGATTGTATTATGTAAGTACTAATGTGTCGTACCAAGTAAGGATTATCTACTTTGATGTCTCAATTAATACCGCTATTTTTATAGACGAATATAAAGAATATGAAGAAGCAATGCTCATAATTTTATCTTATATAAATAATCGCGACAAATCAAGAATATACAATGTTATCCCGTATTTTATTCATATTAGAATTATATGAAGGATATTTAAATTGTGTGGAAGAAATTGTCGGTGTAAAATTTGTATTCGATGAAGTAAAGATCTGCGTGTAAAAGTAATTTTGAAGGAAATAAAATAGAAAATTATTTCAATTTTCTTTTGATATTCGCAAGTAATCTGAACATGACAGGATTGAAGGTTTGATGCGAAAAAATTGAGAGACTGTGTAAAAATAATTTTGAAAAAAATAAAATTAAAAATTATTTCAATTTTTTTTCGATATTCGCAAATAATCTGAACATGACAGGATTGAAGGCTCGATGTGACAAAATTGAGAGACTGACTGGTTGAACGTGATCGCCCTCAGTCGCACAGAAACGGATGCAGCTGGCGAAGATTGATGCTGAATGCGCGAGACCGCGAGAGTGAAGAGCAGTTGAGAAGTTGTTTCTGCTTACATTATGAAATTACCGATCGATCGCGGATTTTCGACAACGACTCCGACTCCCCGACGAGTGCTCGAGCGATTACGAGTAGACTCTACGTTTAAAAGTACACTTTTAACACGCTACATCTTTCTCGCGCGTGGGGAAACATATGTAACATTTTATACATAATGTCTGCGCCCAATTATAAACTTATGCTGTGCAAGAAAAAAAATGCGTCGCTTCTTCAATTCCAAAGCAGGAGATCGAGAGCAGCTGAGGTAAATGTCCTGTGATTACGATTAAAAAGTCGCCATAATGTGGAACTATCGCTCTGGGCGTCTCATTGGGGAAATAAAAAATATTTTTATCATTAATATATTCCGCAATTTGAAAGAAGAAATAGAGATATATGTATATATAAAAATCTGTTAAGAAATTATCTTGTCGTTGAAAGCGCTGCTATTTATTCTTCAATTCAAAGGAAAAATGCGGCAAGCAGCGGAACGAAAATGACACTTTTTTCTTTCGACAATTCAGTTCTAATTATGTCGACTTCTTAATCTTTGCTATATCGAAAACGTGATTGGCATCGATACGCGCCGTCTCCTTGTAGAATTTCGAGAAACTTTGGTATCGCGGAGAGCCTTTCTAGTTCCGGCAATTTCGAAATCGCTTGCAAGAGAATGCTGAGCGCGATTCTGTCTACAAAATAGGATCATCCGAGATTGTTCCATTGATTTTTTTTTTCGCGATAATGTACACTTCGTCCTTCGTCTTTCGAGTGAATATACGCACGAATATCATCGAGTACCTTGATCCCTCAGATCTTCTCAATCTCTATCGCCTGTCCGCGCCGATGAAAATAGAATCCTGTCGATCTTTCATCGAAGCCGCCTCTTGCTTTTTTTCTACCGCGGTTGGGTCCAAAAAAAACGCGCGAATAAAATACTTTCGAGGTGGATTCGCGCTGCGAACGAAGAGTCACGTCCAGGTCTGTGCAAGGGCGCTCACTTGCAGAAGTATCAAATCCAAAGGCGAAAGACGATTTAACGAAGCTCGCAACCAAATTCTGTATCGATTCGGAATCGAGAAAGTTTCGCAACATAGAAGAGTGGCAAAACGCGAGGGACAAGGAGAAAGAAGGCAATGAATGGAGAATCCTCACAACCGCGGTAGCTGAATCTAATCTCGTGTTCTTTATCCAGATTCAGCGATTTACGATTGTTCTGTATATACATACATATATATATACATATATATATATGTGATATAATCTCTTGGATTATGTACGATTGTACGCCGAGCGCACTGATTTGTAAACACGTAACATGGAAATTAGTTTGAAAGTGAGCGTAACAAAGGAGAGACTTTTTGCACCGCCTCTGCTTCGCTCCTGCCCTCCAGCTGACATTCCAGGACGAGATGGTCCTGCGGGCTCGTTATATTATCGAAACTTTGAATGCGTTCTCCCTAGGACGGAGAACAAAGATCTTTACTGGGAGATAAAAGTTCAATTCGTTTGGCTTTAGTTTCATTCGTTTAGAAACTGAGGCATTGTTTCTCTGCATTTCTTTTTTAATTAAGCTGCAAGTTACACTTGTAATTAGTTTAATTAGATTTTAGATAGAAGAGAGAGAAAAGCGGTGCGAATACTGCTATTTCAGATGATTGCAAATCACACACGTTATATGAATATAAAATATTTAAATTTTCTATATTATATCGCGTTTAGATTGTTAGTTGACAGAGATTCGATCGAAAATGCGAGACGATCGACGATGGTGATTGGCGGTGGAGCAGGTGCTGGGAGTGGCGGTGGTACCGATGGTCACGAAGCCGTGTTGTGTATCTATAAGTTTTCATATATTGCATAAAATATGTTTATTACATATTTTCACTATGCCAATTTACGCATTTATTTATTCATATTTGCCTCACTATTCCCGACTTCCTCAAACTACCTCTGATCTTTTTTTTATTTAAAGTGTAAGACAGGCAATAAGAGCCAATCGCGGAAGACAGTGCGTTATTCCAACAAAACTAAATTTTTTCGGTAGAATTAAATATCTGTGCACAAGGCATCAAATTTTACTTGGTCACGGCCAAGATTTTTTTAAAATATAAAATAATTTCATATTTGAGATTTAATTTGATTTTTTTTATAATTAACAAATTATTCTCAGCGATATCATAAAAAACAAATCATCAATTATCGATTAGAAATATGGACCGAAAAGATTAATTTTAATTTTCATTGCTCTATAATTGTTAACAAATATTTATAATTCTTATTAGTTCATTCTGTCTCTGATATATAAAAACTGTTGAAAATTTACGAATAATAATAACGGATATTAATAATAAAAATGAATAATAGTATATATTTTGAGGATATCACACGCGACCTAAAAATGAAGAAAAGATGATGATAGAATATATTGAGTTTTTGTCCATCAGTTTTTTTAGTACAATTCGCCATTATCACGGAATTGATTATCGATTCATGAAGAATTGCTCTCTAGATTTGAAGCGAAACGAGGTAAGGTAAGTGAAAACATTCACGCAATGAATATTACGACACAAATATCTGAGCATAACATAAACGTTAAATAAACGAATGACATCTGATCGATCTCGAAGGTACTTATATTTTATTAGAAAGCTTTTCTTGCTCCTCTTCCTATTTATGTTTTATTAAATCGACACCGTTTATTTATTATTCCATTATTAATACAAAGCTATATTATATCCGCATTATATCATCTTACGCAACTTTGACGTTTTAATGTAAATATTTTATACATATAGTTTTGACACGCAACCGAGACTTATATAAAAATAATTAATACGCAGTGAAAACGCACCGCAAACGATCGCGACTCAGAGGTCGATTATTCGCGATTGGAAACTCGATATCTCTGGAATGTGCCAGGAAACGCCTGTAAACGAAGCTCGGATCTGCTAGTCGTTACAATTCGATGCACGGATGGCAATCATCTCGTTATTACACGGAACATAAAATACAGTTCTTAAATTATATCTACGACTAATCGACTCTCCTCCGCGAATTACAATCGGGATATAAATCGATGTCTATAACGACATACTTTCTATTCCATATCGTCGGAAAGACAATAGAGGTAAGGGGACCATCACGCTGTAATGATTTTGTTAATTCCATTCCGAGCGGACAAGTATTGTCAGAATACGCACGTAATAATTATTGATTAATGTATAATTATCAAATAATTATTTAATTTACAGTCGAGATAACTGAAGATCATAACTTTTAAGAAATTTAATTCTGGACGATATAATTTGGTAATACAGATAATGGAAATATTATCTTCTTTTTATTGCCAGTTCATTACTTCTGTACTTCATTATATACACGCATGAAAAAAAAAAAAACGACGACGATCACTTTACTTAATGAGCACACTCGATATTCTAAAGATGACATGTGTTCCGTACTTTCGTTCACGTGATTTGACTCGCGAATTTCGTCAAAAATAACATCTCAGATCCTTCCTTTTCCGCGTTTCTAGGATGCGCTTTACAATGTGCATCCGTCGCGATGCATAATTTCCACATCGCGAATTTCGGTTTGCATTCGTGACAAGTTTGAGTTGGCACGATGGAAATTGAAGAAAGTAAATGAGTTGTTCATGAAACATACAATGCTTGACAGTCTGACATATAAAATGCAAATGACACATCCGTATTATTTTATCGTATTGTTAAATCTTCATCTTATGACATGTTCTAAAATGCACTTTTGCATTTTTCGCGATTGTATTTACTACGTGATTTGTTTTATTAATACAGTCAACTGCTTACTATAAATATAGATATAGTTGTATAAATTAATGTCAAAATTCCAGAGCATATTATTTGTAAAATCATAGATTTTAATGGTGTGTTTAATTGTTAAGCCATCAAAAAATTTGGATAATAAAAGCACAGTATATTTACACTATTATTTTATTATCATAGTTTTTATTTTTTTATATTAATTTTTATATTAGAATTCTATTTTATAAGGCAATATAGCGCGCGAGTTAATTTATTAAATTAATATAAAATTAATATAATTTCTTTTTACTTAATATAAAATCAAATATATAGTAATTAGTATTATCAACAAAATTTTCGAAGTTAAAACATATAATGCTTGACAGTCTGACATCTAAAATGCAAATGACATCCGTATTATTTTATCGTATTGTTAAATCTTCATCTTATGACATGTTTTAAAATGCATTTTTGCATTTTTCGCTATTGAAAGTTTTCAAATTTATTTACTTTCTTTCAATTATTTATAACAACATTAATTACGTATGCCATAAGAGAGAAATCATAAAACTTCCGATTATTATTCACGAGGTAAGCTTAATGATCTACAACGTAATAGAGTACGAGCATCAATTTTGGCAGACCTAACCGGCATGGATGTTTTTCTACGAAGTGGGAGTCGGTATAAAGAGAGGATATATCCCGTGGCGATGGTCAGTGAGCTCAGTGAGAGTACCGTGATCATTTCACCGTTGTACCGTGAAAGTCAAGAATGAAGGTACGCGTTTCGCTATCTCTCATCGCTGTGCCTCATTTTATACATATGTGTGAAGTGTTAGTTGGCATTTAAGCGCCCGCAAAAAAAATATACTTAATTCATATCATGAAATTAATCTGTGTGATCGCGATATTCATCAATTTTCGCACTTTATCTTCGTTATTAGAGAATTTGCACATTTTATGACGAGTGATTAAAAAAAAACTTAATTTTTCAATTTCTAAAAATATTCTCATTTCTCTTTTTTCTTTTGACGCGTTCGATAATTTCGTGTATTTATAATGATCAGCCATTATTCGTCGATTTCACGCCATCCTACTTGAGAGCGAGACGCTTTGCTTCTCGACGCTCCACGTGAAAGTTCTTTCCGTATACCTTTCTTTGGTATAATCCTCGTTGCAAGTTTCACATGCAACAATGAGGAGAATTATACGGAACAGTTTCATCTCAACAGCTGCACCGCGAGTTGTAAAGAAATAATTACTTTGCGGCTAAAATGCTTTTGTCGAAAGTCACTACATCCGCGTGTTTTCTTAAAAGATGACACTCCTATTTTAACAAGTCACATTATTTCATCATTAAGAATCATGTTAATTCTTCTTAAATGCATAGCTTTTATTACAGCATCCGCTCTTACATTATTTTATTTTTATTATGACTACAGATTCTTTCCGATTGCGAAATTATTTGTTAAATAAATCTAAATGATTCGTATATGTAAATCTTTTTGGCAGCGAATTTTTATCTGCGAAGAGAAAGGTATTAAATTTTTTACGAGATGGTTTTATATGTGACTTTAGTAAAAATATATAAAATAGTTGTGAACAAACTATAAAATCATTGAAAAGTATAATTTATCACTTGTATTACTTATATGTAGATCTCTTGAAAGATTTACTTTCTAATTACATTTTCTAATTGCGTAGACTTCTTTGAATGATAAATTGCGCGTATTTACGATGCTACAGAAATCGAAAAAAATTAATAAACGATATCATCGAGAATAATTTTATTTGTCAAGTGTGAGAGTTTTCCCATACCGGAAATTTGTCTTTTTTTTTATCTATTCTTATTGTGCATTCGCTTTCTAACTTGTATAGAGAAAATGCTGTCTTTCGAAAAATTCAATTTGCCTAATATGAAAAATAGAAATATCTATTAGACGTGTAATTTGCTTTTTAAAAACCGAGAATGCACACAACTAGGTCAACCAATGACTTCTATATGCAAAATCAAGGTTACAAGGATCACTCTCGTTCATTCAAGTCACAATCTGCGATTATATTTGGTCGTATATAATGATAGTTTTTAATCACAATTTGTTATTGTTTCTCGTAAATACTCGTTTTCTTTCCCGAGAGTGTTTGCTATTTTCTTTACAATTCAAATTACTTTCGCTTCTACTCGTGATTGTTGTACAGATAATGAATTACGCAACTTTTATTGCGCGCTTTATATCGCTAGCAAAAGGCGTTTCATCTTATTTGTCTCGCGCTATCTATGTGAAATCATCAATATTGGCGAGATCTTCGTGTTTGCCTCAAGTCATGTATGCATGCCATCGATTCATACAGTGAACGTATTTTAAATCGCCGGTAGTCGCGTGACTTTCACTCGGCGTCGCTCTACTTGTTGCACTGTTAATACGCTCTTCATGCTTGAATAATTTTTCAAGATCAACACTTGACCCTCAAATGATCCCTAGCAATTAATTTAAGTGCATGAGAACGCGACAGGGACTTTCCTAAGGATTTTCCTTATTTAGCAACTAGTATCGCGTGCTTTATATATATGTACATACAATCAATTATATACAATTATCGCTTCGCATTTATTCTTGTATGAAATTAATGGATATTGTAATTATACATATCATTTCTCATCGTCCGTTTCAGCTAAGGGAATTCTTGATAGTGACGTGGTACTTGATACTCGTGACTCGCTCGGAAACCGTAAAAAATGATCGGGAATCGTTGCTGAGGAAAGCGGCCGAACAGCTCGAGCGATTAGCGCCGTATCGAAGAGAGATTGTCGCGGACAATCAAGGAGAAGTCGATCTCTCGAACTCGCCAGAGATCTGGAGATTTCCCGAGGATCAGAATCGTTTGGACGAGATAAAGAGCGATGCGGATCAAAGGGGATCACCTTGGCTGGTAATTTCCGACATCCTCTCGGCGGAACAGGACGCGACGAAGAAGACCGACGACGAGAAGCTGGTTACGATCGACGTTATTGCCGATCCAAAGTACAACGCGATGATGCAGGAGAGGATCAAGAGAGGCTTCGATATAGGATCTGCCGGTCTTCTAACCAGCATAGCGGGCGGTTTGTTAAGCGGTGTCGCGAGTGCATCGAGCAGCTCTGCCGGAAAAGCAATAGCGGGTAGCAGTCAATCGGCGTTCAGTGCTCCTGTATATGGTGCACCCGCAGTGGAACACACCTATTCGGTAATTATTATTTATTCGAACAGTAATGAATTCAGTTTACTTCTACACTGAAAGAAATATTTATTGAATTCGAATAAGTATTTATTTCAATACCGACAAATCAATCATTTATTTGAAACTAATAGGTAATATTGATTCGATATGAAGAATATTTATTTGATATAAAAAAATCCTTTTCAAAACAAATAAATATTTATTAGGCAGTGTTGAAATAAATATTTATTGATTTAATAATTTTTTTCAGTATACTCACTCTCGTTTATTTAAATAATTTATATAGAAATGTTAGAAAAAATTGAATAACAGTACAGAGAAAAAAATGATTGGATCTTTATATAAAGGAAAACAAGAGAAAACACGAGCAAAAATGAATGGTTATCGGAATGCTAAAGAAAAATAAAGAGAAAAAGTCGTTGTATATACATGAAGTAGGTCATTGCTTCAAAGGAGCGAAATTTTAACCGGTTTTTTTTAATTATTGCCGTCTTTTCCGGAAGTACATGTTCTTGTACGTCTGGTTATCTTTAGCTCAAACATTGCAAAGCATTTTATGTAGCAACGCAAATAAACATCTTAAAGAGAAAATTACTGTGTAAATATTTGATAAGCCTTTTACGTTGAATAAAAACCTTTTAATGTATAATAATTTTTCTAAGTATTCAATTTTCTTTAAAAAATAAATAGTAGAAAAAAGATGTAGAGATAAAGATAGACAAAATGTATAACTTTAACAACGTATAATTATATTAATTATATTACGCAACATAGTGACATAATCTAATATGGAAATGATATTTTCTTTTTAGTATGTAGAGAAACCCTTCGGTCCTTGGGACTTTAAGAAAGCGATCTTTGGTACATTGTTCCAAGCTCTCAAAGCGATCGGCGGCGGCGTACTAGCTCTAAAGGGTCAATTAGTTAAGGGCGGTGGTTACCTTTTGGCAGGTAAAAGCAAGGTTGTCACTAAAGCCGGGGATGTCATTACGTCTTTCGGTAAAAGTCTGGCGGCCAGCGCGTTGGTGGAACCAAAACCTTATCCACCGGAAACTTACTACGATCATCCGCCGGTTCCAAATATAGGTAAGGGATTACATAATTTTTATTTTTAAAAAATTTATCAGATTTCTGTTTTGTTTATAATTAACTTAATAAAAAATTAATAAAAAATTAAATTGCACCTACAAAATGCAAGCATTGTATACACATATATATGTATAAAAACTTGCTTTCTATTGTGCGTTTATTGTACGTTTATTTATATCACAGTCGATCGATTAGTCATGGAAATCAATCGGAAATGTAATTTTATATTGAGGAATGACAGACTGTAGAAAAATCATTTTTCTGATTGCAAGCCAATCGATTATCCATAAATATGGATATTTCGAACGGTAATCATATGTTTAAGACTTAACCGAGTATTATTCGCATTTCTCGAATCCGTTTGTGAACAATTGAACGTTATAATCGATAAAACTGATTCAAAACAAGTTGATATACGATAAAGATTGTTACGACACATTACAAGATTATTAATTTTTGCAGTTAGTCTTGAGTTTTACATTAAAATGATTGTAGTCTATTAATTAAATGTATTTTAATTTATAATAAAATCGAGTTAAATTCGCACCGATAAGATATCTTTATTTTTATATATACGTGATAATATGTATAGACGTTAAATATTTTTTTGAACTTTAAAAGGACATGATGCCAACTATCCTGGATCAACAAATTCCGATGATTACTCCGAGACACATAATGATTACAGTTCACACCATATCTACGGCGTGCCATCAGATGGTAGGTTTTACCTTTCTTACATATGTAATTGTAATATTGTAAAGTTCCTGCACTATTGTACTCTGTTTCTACGTTTTTACGCTTTTCTAAGATACGCAATTAATCCAAAGTAGTAATTACGCTCTGATGAAGGCTTAATAAGTATAACGACTTCTATGAAGAAACAATAGCTTTCGCAGAGAAAAGAAAATAATCAAGAAGTCTTTGTTTTCTTCTTAAATTAAAAATTTTAAAAAGTAATACTTGCGTAAGATTTTTTTATATATTCTCTTAATTTATTTAAAGTGTAGACAGCGCTATCAGTTACAACTTTCACGAATAAATTTCGCTACCAAGCGCCAACTGACAATTATAATATCTTTGGCGGAAGTTACTGCTTTCGATGTTCTTCTTGGAAACTTATTAATGCAATTCGCTTGATGATGCTCGAATTTCCCTTTCCGTATCGCACCATCGTCATCACTGAGCAACACAGTGAATGTCAATTCCCCCTGAAATAGGATTTCATTTCACGATTCCGAATGATTCTTCCCACGTGTGTATCAACACGCGACCTTTCACTTTCCCCGAAAGTTACTGACCGAGAGATAGCTGCGGCAAAGTCTGTGTTTCCTGTGACATACTTCAAGTTCTTTACTCTTGATGTATCTGTGTGAATCTCTGCGTGCTGATGTAAATTTTATATGTACATAAATTATATTTTCTTGCAACAAAAATGTTGACTCTAATATGCAATTTATATGATAATTATCATATATACCGTATATGAATGTATTATAATTATAAAATATGAAAAATTATTCTACGTTATTTGACACTGTATGTTTCTCTAAAATTCACTTTTCTAGAATTTAGTATAACACAATGCACTAGTTCTTAATTTCACAGATTCTATAACAGTTTTCTGTAAAGTGCAACTTTTTCGTACATTAGATCGATATATAAACTAGACATGTTGTTCTATATATGTATTTATGGCACTTGACCGACCGACACTTTGTAATACTTTCGGCACACTCGCAACAACGTTGATTAATCAGCCTTTGACAGTATCTGCTTTCATGCTCCACCTCGACTAACGAATCTCTACTTAACACTAAAGCACAGAATAAACGTGACTGACAGACGTCACGTCCACAGACACTAGCCAGGGCGGCCTGCTGATCGTGACGCCGACGAAATCTGACCTGGACGACCACAACGACCAACGTACGAACGTGGTGACGCAAGAAAAGCCGGATCTGTCCAAGTTAGAGGAGAGTTTCGGTGGACCGGCCAAGGGCTCCGCCGTCACGAATCTCTTAAACAGCGTGCCGAAAGGTAGCGTTGGTTTAAAGGATGAAACCGTCGATCAAGACAACAGCAAAGTGAATCCTTATCCTCCCGTGCAACATCCAGCTTCGACCTACGGGACGCCAAATTATGGCAATACGGTGCAAAATTATGCGTCCGGACAAGAGCACACTCAGCAACAGCCTCAATTATCGTCGCATCATCACTTCCCATATCTGGATGATCCGAATCTGTCAAATCAACAGAACGTAGTTTATCCACCGTTGCAATATCCGGCCAGTCCCTCCGCTTCCTACGACTCGTCCAAGCTTCCATACAACGATGACGGCGAAACGTCGGTGTACGCAAGTCTGTCTATAGACACCGAGCCGCAAATCTCGCCCTTAAAGGTATCCCTTCTGCCCAGTGCTCTCGAGCTGCCCAAGTTGCAGCCGCCCGTGGACTTTCACGGGCCCCAGTTTGCGAATCATCTTCACGGCAGTTTAGGCGGTCCACTGAGGGTACCTCTTTTAAACCCGATGCCATCAGCCTATCATTGGCAGAGTCAAGGATCGCTCATACCGACTCTGAAGACGCTGAATCATAAGAGAAATGTTCTCCAGAGGCGAGCGTTCGCCAAACGACTCGCGCTTTACTCGATGCTGCAGAAGATGAGGTTCTATTGACTGTGAGGTCGAGGTAATGCGTCGACATATTATAAGCGTGGATAAAATAATGGCATTTTTTTTAATTCCGCAAATTTTTTCGATAAATATGCTGATATATTTTAACGTCGAAAAACAATTTCTCTGACAGTTTTTAAATATTGAAGAGTGAAAGTATAACACACACATAGACACATGCACTCAAAAATGTGATGGCGAAATATTACACTCGGTCATTTCGAACATTTAATAAGAATAAATATGTACTTTCATTTTAATTATATAATACGGTATCAAACGTGTAATTAAAATAATGTAGCTAAATCAAATAGATAGGAAAGATTTATTGTTACAGACTTCATTTGAAATCACATCGCAATTATTTGAGATTAGAAAAAGAAAGATTGCTTTGAAATAATATGTGTAACTCATATTAAATTTAGAAGTAAGCGATTTAATTATTATGTGAGTCAACTGAAAACCTTAAATATTTTTTATCTCGTAGTTTATTGAATACAAAAGGTACACATTTACCTATATACATATTATTTTTTTACGTAATCTCCATAGAGTAATAAAAATGTTCTAGCACTTCGGAAGTATATAAATATCTCTAGAAAAAATTACCTGAAAGTGTAGGCATTCATGCACCGCCTATTTTAACTCTTCATCGGATCTGGAAATCGATTCTGTATCATACAACTGGATAAAATCTTACAAAAATGAGCGAATTTAATAGAAAATTTATAATTTTATTGCTCCAAACTTAGTAAATTCGTTCATTTTTGTAATTTTTACATTTTCAGAATCAATTCTCTAATAACACATCTCTCTCATTTAAACTGTTCAAAGATAAAAATAAAAATAATTATAAGAGCGAGGTCTGCCGAATACGGATAGAAGACGCTCAAAGAAACGATGGGAGACAAATCTCAGATCTGATAAAGATATGAAACTGGCGGTGCATGATGCCTACACTCTCACAATTATGTAAAAGATTTTTTCTAAAGATATTCATGCACTTGCGAAACGCTGAAACAATTGTATTGCATACCATAGAGACTACGTAGAAAAACAATATAAATGTCTTTTGTATTCAATAAATAACGAGATAAAAAATATTTAAAATTTTCAATTAACTCCCTTAATATTATTTTATTTTATATTAAAATAATTTATTTTAATAAAAATTAAAAGCAAGGGATATTTTTTCCTTATCACATTATATGCTGTAAATAATATTAACTTTCATGCATTTATACTTTTTCTGTTTCAGTAGTCTACGCAGTCGCATACTATCCATATCCAGCCAAATACAGATACAGACTTCCGTATCCTTATGGACGATAAAGATTTTCATTATCAACGATCACATAAGCTTCGAGAAGTGACAGAAGTATAATTTGGCGAAAGCGATTTTTAGAATTCGACATTTCAAAGTCGAAGTCAAAACGAAAGAACATTTTTATCTGAAGAAGAGATTCTGTATACCATTGAAATACTGGATTTACGGCATCAAAGTGTGTAGCAGGTTATATCGAGTGTCACAAAAGTGATAGTCTTCTATCAAATAAGGAGGAGACTTAAAATTATTATTATTTATAACATAAAGTATTATATCTTGGTTTGCTGAAAGAAACGATTACATATGGATTCTATAAGCAAATCAGAGAAATCTAAACTTAGAAATTTTAATGAAATAATTCTTTGTTAATTATGTAGGATCTAATACTAGCGATTTTATATGTTATAATTTACTTTGTGATAGACTCTCTTTATTATGTATTCTTCGTTCGTCATTTGCGATCGTGGCGGACATGAATGTACATATGTAAGTCCTGGAAGGACACTATAGAGTAAGACCTACAGTATAAAGGACTTACTACACGCCATGAACAAATGACTTTAAAGTTATGTATGAAATAGTTTCTTTAAATAAATTTAATAAAAAATTTCTTTCATAAGTTTAAATACCCATCTCAACTTTATTAAAAAAATTATTTGTTTAAACAATTATTTTAGAAATATAATTTTTAATATTAAAATTTTACTACAATTATAGAGTTTTTAATGCAAAAATTTAGTATACTAAAACAAAACAAGCGTATGCTAAATGTGCGCAAATGTTCTATCATACACTAACAATAATGCAATTTTTTTTAAATTAATGGGAATATATACTTGAAATGGTTCTCAGTTTGATAATAAAAATAAATTGCAAAATGATGTGTCAATATCAAACATATTCATTCGTACATATAAATTGTTATAATATCATCAATTAAACATCTTCGATTAAATTTATTTAAATTTTATTAATTTATATAAATTCAGTCATGTTATAATATCATCAATCAAACATCTTCAATTAAATTTATTTAAATTTTATTAATCGTTACACATAGTTAATTAATGGAAATAGAGAAATTATATCGATTTTCTTAAGTCAATCATTAATGGAAGAGATTCGCATTAAATTTGCTATATTTAATCGTCAATTATATACTTTTTAATTGTTTCTGCTCAAATCAATTGTCAATTGAATTGTCTTCGATCGAATCTGTTTTTTTCAATCGTCCATTAAAGTACTTCTAATTAAAATTAACTCATATTAATCGTTTAATTGAAAAACTTTCAATTAAATTAACTTGTATTAATCGTTTAATCGATCGCTCTCCGATTAATTTCGTTTATATCAATTGTCAATTAAATACCCTTCAATTGACTTCGAGCATATTAATCGTTAATTAAGTGATCTTCGATTAATCTAGCTTATATCAATCGTCATTGTAACGATCTCTAATTAATCTTTCTAAAATTAATCGTCAATTCAAAATATTTTAATTACATTTGATTACATCTGTTTGTAAATAAATGTCATAATTAATTTAAAAAGTAATTAATTAATCAGCATCTCTGATGTAAATATCTACTTAAGCGGAACTCTTCCGGGCTTTGTTTATTAACAAATAAATTTTTTTCTGTCAGAAATAATCTAAGAGTATGCAACCCTACTTGTATTATTTGGCACCAAACACAGGATCAACCGTAATAAATTGTTAAATGAGTATTTATATTTATATTCCAGTGATTTCTTTATATAATCGAACACGTGTCGCCATCTAGCGGAGTTGTTTGCAATCAATGTTTTCCCGCTTTTCTCTCACCCTCCATTACGAAACTCGCTCGTTCATCGCCGGTCTGCAAAAGTACGACTGTAAGTATTAATAATATTGTCTCTATGCGGATAATTATCATATAAATATAATCGCGTCGCGTGTAGTGACATCGTGATCGCGATCGCACGCGCAAGATATGAAGAGCTACGTGATTGGGGCCCCCGATAGTTCGGATAGTTCGCACGCGCGAGTTTATGATATGCTGGACGTATTTCGAGCATTTTAGGAACAAGCTATTTCATTTTTTAAATAGTTACAGTCATTTAAAGCAAAAATTTAATTTATCCACGAATTTTAAGGATTACATAATTGTCTACAAAATATCCAGTATATTTTTACTGGTCAGAACCCCTTGGATAATTAATGTACATGCCCAGAACTGTACGAGAATTATTTTACAATAAACGAAATGCACGAAATACGTCCAGCATATCATATATTTGAAAATACCAGTTTTTTTTATTAAATCCTATACATATATAAGATCAGTGATAGATTCACCAAAATGAATAGAAAAATTTGACCGATTAATCAGAGACGAAGGATCTTATATCTTTGTCCTGAATGATCAATCAGATAAAGCAAGAAATATTTTTTTCGACAGCTGCGATAATAAAAAATATTTAAGTTTGTAGTTGCACAGTATATAGATAAATTAAGGTGCCTTTTCACGAGCCGCTAAAACTGATTGTTTGAGCGACATAAAATGAACACGTAACAACTTTTGTCGCTGAACTAAACAACGATAATTTTTGTATATGAAAAGGATAGCAGCGCGACAGAATTGAAAGTTGAGCGTTTGAACAGTAGATGCTTTGTAGTTGAACTAATTCGAACTACAAAATTGTTAGTGCTGGATTACGAGCAACAAATCTATCGCTTCAATCACTTATTGTTTTAGCGGCACGTAAAATTGCATCTTTTTAAAAATGCGTTGCGATTCAGAATCGATCTTTCTCGCTCTCGACAACGCGACCTCTCGATCTCGAAATGACGTCAGAATCTTCATGTTGATTATATTTTCTAACCTATTTTCTGAAGAAACATCAAGATCAGACGTATTACAAATTTGGTAATAAGTCGTAAGAAAAGTTGATTTCAGGAAACGTCACTGCTTTATATTTTCTTCTAGGACTTGAAAAAAAATTAAGGTATGTAGTCTAGAATTATATATAATGCATTTTAGCATATAGTTTAGTACAAATTATGACACATACAAAACATACTCAATGAAAAATTAACCCTTGATACATAATTATTTATCATTTGTAATTGTATTATGTATGTGTGCGTGTGTTATGTCCTTTATACATATTAATAAATAAATTGTAGCACAATGGGAGAACGGAAGGGAACAAATTTGTACTATCCACCGGACTATGATCCTCGTGCTGGTGGTCTCAATAAATTCCTGGGTACTCACGCATTGCGTGAACGAGCCCGTAAACTCCACATGGGTATCTTGATCATACGATTTGAAATGCCATACAATATATGGTGCAATGGATGTGGGAATCATATTGGCATGGGTGTTCGATATAATGCAGAGAAGAAGAAGATTGGAATGTATTACAGTACGCCACTTTATCAGTTTCGCATGAAGTGTCATCTCTGCGATAATCACTTTGAAATTAAAACTGATCCTGCTGTAAGTCACAAATTATAATAAATTATTATTAAAAATGTTGTTTTTGTATTTCATTAAATATGTATTTTGATTCTCTAGAATTTGGACTATGTCATAGTAAGTGGTGCAAGGCGTCAAGAAAATCGATGGGACCCTAAGCAGAATGAACAGGTTGTGCCGGAGACAAAAGAAGTATCTTGCAGATTATATGACGACGCAATGTACAAATTGGAGCATGGTATAGATGATAAAAAAGTAGCCAAATCTCGAGATTCAGCATTGGAAGGTGCTATAGCTTTGAATGAAAGTATTTGGAAAGATGACTACAGTTCAAATTGTGCAGTGAGAACTTTATTTCGGGTATAACATTTTTATTTTTAATGATTGTTTATGTAATTAGAATACCTTGTGATTACTTAGAATTAATTTCTTCTATTCTAATCTTTTTTTATTGCAGGAAAGGAAACAGGAACTCAAAAAGAAACAAGCTAAAGATCATGCTTTATTAAAAAAAACTGGACTAGATATTGACATAGTAAATGAACACGAGGATGACATTAAATTAGCCAAATTACTCATTCCTAAAAGAGGTATGTTTACTTAGCATTTAAGTATAATTATATATATATATATATATATATATATATATATCACAATTATTATCTTTTTTTAGATGCAAGGAAAAAAACAGGCACGGCATTGAAACAATTAGTCTCGATTGTACGATCAAAAATAAAAAAAAGATATCTTCGAGTAACCGATTAAAACTTCAAAATCAAGAATCGCCAAAAGTACAGGAAGTAATAGGTAAGGCTACTACGTCAAAAGTCAATGATTCAAGCACATCTTTAGTAAATTATGATAGTTCTAGTAGTGACAGTAACACTTAGTACTTTAAATACTTTATATATTTATCATGAGAGCACAATACATATATATATATATATATATATATTTGTTAATAAAATGCTATGAAAGCATTATCTTAATCAAAGTTAGTTCCCAAATCAAAATGCATCAATGCCAAAAGTGTGGTCTATAATACATGAAATTTTCAAAAATATTTTGATAGGAAATATGTTTCAAAGATGATAATAGTTATAACTTTCATAAAGTTATATATTGGAAAAATATTCTATATTAATAATTGAAAGAAATTATTACATCATATAACAAAGACATTTAATCTTTTCTAAAACTATGCGATACATTACACCAATTTTATTCCTAAGAATGTGACATATTCCTATATAAATAGATAACGATGAATAAATCTCTTAGAATAGTTGAAGTTAAATTTGTAAGATATATTAAAGTTTACACGATAGATTTCTTTATATGCATTACTTTTATTTACATCTCAATGGTAGACTGTGGTTCCACATTTGCTGTAGTTGGAAATGGTAGTTTCTTTTTATCACATAAATCTTCTTATTGGAAAGACATATAACATAGCAATGGTCCTTATAATTGATTGATATTTTTTCAAAGGCATTATTTGAAGGAAATGCCTTGGGATCAACTTTACTTGTTAATGTGACCAAACTGCTTATAATATTTGCTATTCTCTCATCATTTTCCAAATCTCCTCCAGACTGCAACAATAAATACAGAATAAATACAGAATATTTCACTTATTACAAATAGAAATTGCCATAAGTAGTTTGTTACCGTTAATACAGCACCATCCTCTGTTAATACCAAGTAACCAGTTTGATCAGGTATGCGCTCTAATGCCAACATTTTCTGCAAACAATAGTTTACAGAAGCCATGAGTGATATCTTATATGTTATTTACTTCAACTAATTATCAAAGTGATGATGAAGTGAATTATCACGAGTTAGGTAAACAAAATGAGGAGCCAATATAAACATTACAAGGACCACTACAATTAAAAGTAATGCTATAAAAATTAGAAAAATAGCAAGAGCTATAATAAGATCCATAATATCCAGAATTTTTTAAATAATGCTTGAATATATGTCAAGTTGACATTGGAAAAATTGTGAGTTAGCATTAAAAAATAAAAAAAGGACAAAGGTTCAGCATAATTTAAAGCTAAACTAAACACGATGCTAAATTTCTATACGCAATTCCTGTTTACTCTTAATATTTATCTTGTAAAATCACTTCTGTGTCCTAACCTAAGCAACGAAAACAATAACGAGCGAAACAAATCGAACTTACATATGATAACGTCAAAAAAACCAGCAAAATATAAATATCGATATAAATATATCTCTTGACACCGACGAAACAAAATCAAAGGGCGTTTCAAGATTCACGTTAATCAGAAAGACAATAAACGTCAAAGTATACGTCGTCGACGTCGTACATTTGTGCATACTAGCGCCCTCTTGATAATTTTCGATATCTCGAAATCGCAAGAATCGATAGATTTAAATCGCAGTCACGGTAGACGTTGCGACTAAACGGACGGACGCGGATTGCTCCATGCTTTTTCGCGATTTATCAGGTTCAGTAACGAAATGTTTTCGCGCACGTAATGTCTCGTAAAGCATCGGACGATTTGTCGTAATATCGCATACGTAAAATCGGTGTTGTACGTCCATATATCGGGATCCCAGCATCAGATTTCTCTGTGCCCGGAATGAATCGAAATATTCTCGTGTTTCTTCTCTCCGAAGCATCGCGCGATTGCGATTAATGCATAATCATCATCAGGTATACGGTCTAAATATTGTCATTTCGCAATTAACTGTATTTATATTGTATAAATTTTGTCAATTTCGGCCGCATTATGTATTAAACAATGTATTGACCATTACACATTAGAACAATAATAATGTTGCAAGGGAGAAGTGAAAAATTTCGTTGAAAGAAGATGGCAGATGTTATCGCTTTATTCCTATATGTATATTAATGATAATATATATATATGATAACCTCTCGCAGATTATCGTGTATCGTATTTATTAATGCATACGTATAATTAATATTATAAAAATATGTAACACAGCAATATAAAACGACTCTCGTCGCGTATTATGTACACATTCTATATTTTATATAATTAATTATGAAAGAAAAAGATATGGTATTTGTATAATTCGTGATAACGTTAAATATAGCATTTACATATGATTATTTATAGAAGGGAATATGAGAAAATATATAATACAAAAATGTTTTGTATTTTTAGATTGCGATGTGGAACGAGAGGAAGAGAAGGATACATAGTGAGGCAAGTGTTTTTGTATATGTGTATGCGCGTGTGTCGCGCATGGCGGTCGCGCAGGTGACACGCTTGCGCAACGCCAGTGGTTCTCCGCGGCCGCGAGGCGAACCTCCGCCGGGCTACGTCATTCGTCGCGTGTCCTCCGAGCGCGGCTGTCGCCGCTTTAGTAGCGCGTTCACTCGCGTACGCCCTTGGCGCGCCGCTCAGACCACGTGGTACACCTTTCATAGTACGATTCGATTTTCGATCGCGCGCGCGACTTTCGAGATTAACTTCACACGGTACGTTCCTTCCTTCCCGCGTATCGCGTTCGTTCGGCTTGAGAAACGCGTCTCGAGACAGATAAAATTATACAGTGCGGAGTATAATCGGTTTCTCGTTGTAATTCATTCGAATGTGATATTCGCGCGACAGTGACACGCCGGCTATGAGGAGCCGCTATTGATTCCCCGGACACGCTCGCAAGTGCGTGTGTCAGTGCGGTTATGTCCAGGAGGAAGCAAGCGAAGCCACGATCTCTCAAACGTAAGTTTTATCCATTGTTATTCATTCGATGCGAATATTCGATCATTAGAACTTTCCGAAATTGATGGTTATAAATATGTGGAAAATACGAACGGATTATCATAACCTAGAAATACTATCAGCTTTACACACATTTGTCATCAAAAAGATAATATAAATACTGCTCAGTCCATGAAACTATATTTCAATTTCTAATAATAAATTATATTCATGTGACTTTGAAATTTGAAAATTCTAAAGACTACACCATATATTTCAATGAGTCTACATTACATTTTATGCATTATTTGGCGCCAAGTAACAAATCGACAATTGATCGTAAGATATGATATAATATATGACAAATGTTTTAACCAATTTGTAATCTTAATTATTTAGTGAAAAATTTTTTAATGAGTTTGATATACAGACTTTTAAATTTCTGACAGTAAGTATTATCCTTTAGAAAAGAAATTTATTTGATTTGGTTAAAAAAAAGTATATTTAATACTTTTAAACATGACAATCAATCAAAATAGATCTTAATATGTTTTAATCTCTTCAAATTTTGACATGAATTTGTACAAATATTACTGAAAAATAATGTTTATACAAATTGCAATATGTGTACACGATAAATGAATTATAAAATAATAAAACTATATGAATTGTATTGAAGAATAATATTTATACAAATTCATGATAATATATTACGAATTTTCTGTATTAATGTGAGACATAAATAAAGTTTTGCGCGCGATAAATGTAAGGAGAAAAAAATCAAAACGAAAGAGACAGACACGATGAAGATCTCTGGATGACGGTTTTACGAGATTAAGGTTTATGAGCGCTCGTATGTGTCGCAAAGACACACGAATAATAGCGAAGTTCTTTGGAAGGTATTCGTTCGTGCAAAAACGTCGGTGTATATGAAGGGGCGAGAAAGAAGTTGGGCTAAAAGGGTGCTTCGTGAAACTTTCAGACACGTGCAAGCGTGCCGCGACATAAAAGTGACAACAGTACGATATGCGAGTCAAAAGCCGCTATAATTATAAAAAACTGTAGTAATTAAGGAAGAATAAATTATTCGAGGAATTTTGAAACTTGAAAATTAAAAATTTCCTAATAATTTTGCGATTACGTCGTTATTTAATTGAATAACAAGGGATTTAGGGCCTAAATATATAAACGTTTACAATAAATAAAAAAGAATGAAAGTCAAAAAATATAGAATACAGTTTTTTTTGTATAGCGCTTTTGAAAAATAAGGTAAATTGGTAAAATTATCGAATACAAATGAATATAATTCACAGCTAATCCATTTATATTTATTACTCATTATTTCTATATTAATGGAAATATTGCAACAGTATACTTTTTCCATAGATTATATTATCTTATTCGCAGTTTTCAATTTCTATCGAATTTTTTCATAATAAAGTAACAAGTATACGGACATGTTACTTATTATAAAATTATATATATTAGATTATTTATATAAACGGTTCTATTAATTTTTTAAATCACGCAAGAGTTTTTTTCACAAGAGAATACATAATACATACATAAAGAGAATTTTCTCTTAGAATTTACCCTGAAATCGCGAGACAATATAATATTGGAAGAATTTTATGTGAGTTTCTCTGATTTACCATTTATTACAATAAAAATATTAATATTCTACCACAGTAAAATATAAAAACATGTTCGATTAATTTTACTATATACATAATAAAATTTAATATGGAAATTTAATACGTATTAATATTTTTTATTGTAATAAATATTAATCAGAGAAACTCTAAAAATTCTTCCAATATCCATATTGTCCCACGATTACCATGATTTTCAGGGTAAATTCTAAGAGAAAATCATCTCCGTGTAATAGCTCAATTTCGCAAGAAGTTTGATTTTGTCAATTTTCCACTTAGTATCGATACAATAGTATCGATTATCGCGTTTGTTTTCGCAACGTTTATTGTCAATCTATCCGCACACGATGCAAAGCGAAGAACCGAAACAGATAGAACGATTGTTGCAGCAAGACGAAAGCATACGTATACGTATATAATACCGGATAACCGAAACACATAGTTGCCAAAAAGTGAAAGACAGAAAATAGGGAAAGGGATGGAGGGAAGAAAGAGAATGAATCGAAAAGTGGTGAGTCGGAGAAAGAGGCGAATTGTATAAATGCGATATAAAACAGAGAAGCCGAAAGAGAAATGCAGCGAGCGCGAAATAAATAGAAAGGAAAACGGGCAAGAGAAAGGGTAGGAGAAACGCGTACTCGAATGAAAGAGGGAGAGGATTGAGGGCTGATCAAACGCGGAGGGCAGAGGATAGAGAGTGCTTTGCTGTAAAGGAAAGGGTAGAAAGAGAGAGAGAGAGAGAAGGACATCAACAGAGGTGAACGGTTAGAGATGAAAAGAGAGGCAATAAGTACGAGATAGACAGAGAGAAAGGTAGAGGCAGATAGAGAAAGAGTGACAGAGGGAGAGGGAGAGAGAAAGAGTCAGTAGTCAGCCAGGATGGAATTAGGTGGAAGCCCGCGGGAGACCGGTGCTCGTCCCCGGGGAATCTCTGGCCTCTGTAATCACCAGTTCTCCTATCCTATCCAATTCTGGTCGCACTCCTCTCGTCTTCCTCATCCTGCACTGCCTTTCGCGCGCGCATCTCGTTCCTCCGATCTCTGTTTCTCTCTCTTTCTCTCTTTATCTCTCTCTTCTTCTTTCTCGTTTCTCTACTATCACTTTCTTCTTTGAACTTCAAGTCTTTTTCTGTTTCGCACGCAATAGCATCTTTTCTTTTTCTTCCATCTTTTTTTTTACAATTTCTCCACACTTCTTTTAGATTTTTTTGCAAGGAATTTTTTGGTCCTTAGGTAATGAATAAAAAAAATGACAGCGAGAGTATAGAATTGATTGTAAGCCAAGTTTTAGGTAAGCTATCGTATTTAAAAGAAATATCACAAGTTTTACGGACTTGATTAATTTTTTAACTCCAAAGCCACACGGAAATACATTCTCAATCGTGAAGATCTTGCAAGCTCGCAATAGCCATACGTAGTGTATACCATATGTATGTACGTACAGTACGGCTCTTTTCCGCCAAAATTGCGATCCTGCTCTACCTGGTGCTCGTATCATTTCTCGTTTGTCGGTGGAATTGACGATTGAGCGGAAACGAAAGTTTCGCGGTGCTCGTTTCGAGCCGGCTCGGTAGCCGGCCACATCCAGATTCCAATAGCGGACATAAAAGGCACTCGACTACCGAAATATTGGCGTCGGTCGATGAGCAAAGAGCGTCGTTTCGCGAATCAGGATTTAGATAGAATAAAATGTCCGAATCTACAGCGAATTTCGCTTCGCGAAATACACATCAGCTGTTTCTAATCAGTCGTGATCATTTTCATCATAAATAACATTTGCTAAATATTTTAAACACGAGGAATTTTTTTTGGAAGTTAAAGTAAAAAATACAATAACAAATTTCGTTCTTTTTTACATTTCTAATAGTGCAACAATAAAGTATTAAATGTTTATTCTTCGAAGTATATTCGTTTTAATCTAGTACTGCTACGAGAAGAATTGTTACATTTATGAACGGTCATCCGGTATACATAGAGTGATATCCTGAAATGGAGAAAAAGATAGAAAGAAAGCTCGGGATAACAAGAATATTTAACGAACATTATTGTATCACACGTTCACTTATTTATCGTGATAAATAAAATTGTCGTCTCTTTTATCGGATCAAACTGACTGCCATCGCGCGGTTAGGACATCACGAGCCAGTGGTTAGCCACGAAATAGCAAGCCATACCGATAGTATTGCCAGCGTAGTGATATAGGGTGTTGCTAATTAATGCACGATAATGAACCTGCGCGCGACCGAAGCTGTATTAATGGATTCCAATGACCTCGTCATAACGTGGACAACCGGTAGCCGGTAGGTATAGCAGTTGAACGGAGGATAATTGCGTTAATGGGAATATATTGGCTTGCATCGACCTAGGGCCTACGAACTCTAGTCTATTTACATTTTATAAAAATTTTTTAAATCATAAAATAAGCAGATAATTATCGTTTCATATAAATTTCTTTTACGTCGAGTTTAAAACTCAAACAAATTTTAAATCACATGTAAGGAAGAGAGGAAGAAGTCTTTTCATTTTTAGAATTTTATTAATATCAAATGGTGGAATTATTAATTTTGTCATATGTAATTGCTGATTTGAAAGGAAAATTGTGTCACGTAAAAAAAAAATAAAAATAAAAAATATATATATTTATCAAGTTAAAGTTTTTATGTCGATAATAACTTTTGGCAGTCATTATGGAAATTGCGAAATGCGAGGCTGATTGTATATTAGAGAAGTCTTAATTTATCAATCTGTACTCACACAGACATGGAAACGCACACACGCACAGTGCGTTATTAGATCTGCATTATGTATCGTATGTAAATCCGGTTGCCAAGCGTGCATATGCATTTCTAACGGCAAGTATGAAGGAACGCCTAAATATACGCGATATATAAGCGCATTATAATTGGTGAGTAGGACGCAATGACCTGAATCATGTGCATTATGCCTCAGGAACGTGATTGTAATTTGTGCGTGCTCGCATAAATGCATAATTATCGTCCCGGAATTAATTTACACGCGCAGAAATGATTAACGATCCGGAGCTGGAGCGGCGCTTGCTTATCGATGATTATTATTCCAATCCCCCTCTCTTTCTCTTTCCTCCCTTTTCCCACGTTAAACATTAGAACTAAAATGCAGTCGGTTGCATTAAAGATATTATTAAATTAAAATTTACATTAAATCGTGTTAAAAAAATACAATATCGCGTTTTAAATTGCCTAAGTGAAATAATTTTATAGTAAAAAAACGTGAAATATAATAATTAATTGTGACATTACTGTACCTAACGTAATATAATGTTAATTGCTTATAATGACATCCCTATATATTATATATTTAGCTCTCGCGATTTTACGTATCGATAACGAAATCTGCTTGCGCTACCTACTTTCTTCAGGTCGCAATAATATCGGACAGACAGGAGACGGTTGCGCTACCGGTACAATGTAAATTTCCGGCTTAGCGTTTTAAGCCATTTAATCGTGGTTCCTCTAAAATTTAAGCTGCTATTAGTTTTTGCAGTGACAGCACTAATTCCTTGCCGGCGGTCATAATCGTTATAACGCGCCCGCTAACTCGGATTAAGTTATCGGCCTCTCGTTAAATTATTGTCCACGAAGAGTACGCGGCTTCTGCATCGCGCAATATCCAATTACATTCATTACTTATCTCTCATCACGCTCAATAAGTGATTTATCGTTCACAGTATAAATTACAAATATTTCGCATCAATCGTTCTATCGACAGAGAGACAGGTAAATTTTTTTTGTATCGATCTTGAAAAATTATTTCGTAAAATATTAATAACACAATTGTGTCTATAATAATAAGACAAAATAATATTTTATAATAAATCATATAATATATAATTATATACATTCGGTTTTAAAAAATGTATTCTCTGAAGATCTTGAAGAGCGTTCGGCGTTGCAGCTACAGACTACAACATCCGCGACAAGGTTAGATCATTCGTACAGAATTAGAAAACGGGAAATGAAGTTGGCGAACTTCGGTAGAGGTCATTCGCGCGTATGTGCTTCTTAATAGCTCGCGGAAGGTATGCGGAAGTCTGCGTATTCCGCAGGAAGGAGAGTCCGCGCGCACCTTATACAAAAGACATACTCGAGAACGCATTCCCGCGACGCGGCGGTATTCCTTTGAGGAGCGACCACCCGTTGACAAGTCCGCAAACTTGGCGTCGCTTTTATGGCGATACACGTCGCGCGACAGCGACGTCGATTTAAGAAATTCTCTCTTTCTAGGTTTTATCTCTCTTATATACCGGAGTCTGCTCGTCCCATTTGCGCTCGCTCATGAACAATTGACAGATTTGCTTGTGAATAAATGAAAATAATTATAGGAAAATATCTAGAAGATCATTGCAATGAACTGCCTTAAAAAAATATTTACGCAAAGAAAAAGAGAAATATTTTTACAAATATCTCTCATCATTTACTCTCGAAATAAAAAAAAAAATCCCATTATACTCCGATATTATAATCCGACAAATATATACAGAATCGCGTAACAAACACCGAGCGAACGTTCGGTGCCGTTGACGTGGTACCGCGAGAGTCAACGTGACAGGCACCAAAGGCCCTCCGCAATATTCCCGGGCTCTCAAGAAGGCAGATGCCTCGCTGACGGCGCCGGAGGGGGTTTGGCGGCGCCATCGCAGGCGGATGCTCGCGTCCCACGGGAGTCTGAGTCCGCGTCAGAGCTACCCTGGGTACGCGGTCCCTTGGGATCTCTCTCGACTTCCCTCCCGACACAATCCTCCTTACCCTCCTTACACCCACCAGCAGCAGCGGCGGCCCTTCCCAATGGCGGCGGCTGTCTGCCTGCCTGCCTGCCTGTCACGGACTCCAAGACGTACGACGGCTGCAACGCGAATAGAGATATCGCGCACGGCCCGGATATAACCCGCAGGGCGCTCCTTTATTCACGCCGTATCGATTAATGACTCGCGGACCCTTGCGGACTTCCGTGAGGATTGACGCGTCCCGCGGGACGCGCCCCAGCACAACCGGAAAGGGTTACCGGAAAGGGTTATCAACCCTCGGAACGCTTGACGCGGAACGAGAAAAATTTCGTGAGGGTTTGGAAAAATTGTTTGAAAAAATAGTGTCGTCAACTTTTTAACTTGAAAATGTCATTTTTCAAGATTGGTATCTTAGCTTAGATATGCTGATGTGTGAACAGATTTTTTTATTCGTTCATTTATTAAATGCCACGAGCACCTTATCTTAAAATTTATAAAGCCGCTACTATAACTTAATGATTATTTTAAATAAAGTATTTGTATATCTGGTTATTTTTCAGAATGTCGAATTTACATATGGAATGTCTTTTTCTTTTATTCTCAATTTTACAATTTTACAATAATGTAGCGCTTCAACAAATTTGAATTAATCAATTTAGACGGTAAAAGAATATCAATCAAAATAAAAAAAATATTATTCGGAAGACACGATATACTTTCATCATGAAAGGCATTATCGAGAGATGGGGGCAATTCGAATGATCCTCCTAGAAGGGGTTAAGCCGCAATATGCAGTTATCTTGCCGAGCATGCATGCCGAAGCTATAATAACACATCCGTTTAACGTTTAGCCACAGAGCTCGTGCCGAGATTGCAACCTGTATTTTCGTGAGTTTACCTCCCTCTCTCCCTCGTCTCGTCGACCTTCTCCCGGACCATCTTGAGAATGGCATCGTCTAAGCTAGGTCGTATTACGTGGCTTGTTGCAGAACGATGTACGCGCGTTATAGATACGTGTGGAGAGGGTGCCCTCGAGCCGATATAGCCGATCTCACCCTCTTTACCTTTACGATTATTGGTTTAGACCACCCCGTCTCAACACACATCCAATTGTTTACGGTGTTTTACGGTAAATTGAATTTGCCGATGTTCGGCTACATTTTTTCGGAAAAAAAATCTTGTTTTTTTTTGCATCATTAAATCGTTTTATTTAAAAGATATTTTATTATAGAAATTTCTATTTATATAACACAATGACAAATAATGCATTCTCGCATCCAGAACGGTTCGATATTAATTTACTGAGCACGCGTTTCTGGTCTCGATTCCAAGGACAATTAACGTATCAAACTCGCCGAAAGTCCTCGGTTACACGATGATGGATGAACCATTAACCGTCGCGGTATCACGGCGAGTGGTTTACACGAAGCGCAAGACATGCCTGACAGCTGACAGAGTACGGAGGGCGCGAAGGCATATGATCAAAGGATGCCTCTCCGCGTCGTATCTTCTAGAATATTTAAGCCCCATTGCCTCGTCTGCAGATTTGACACGTTCGTTGTTTCTCGTTGTCTGACAGCTAACACCCGGTTAGAGGGTCGAGTTGAATTTCTACGGAAAATTGTATTCATTCGTTCACGTTGAACTCTTTTGAATCCTCCATCGGCGATTTTAGTGAAAAATGTTATTAGCGAAAGATAACTTTATTTAATCATCAAGTAATGGGAATGATTCAGCTGCACTGCAGTTATTTGCACGATGATGATAACGGCTATATTTATTTAGCTTCGTAAACGTGTTCTTCTTGCGTTCGAGCAAATCAATTTTGGTAATTAGCAGAGAAAGTTTACGCGGTTTGTTAGCTTAATCAGCCGTTAACAGTGACAAATGCTCTCGTTCGGATAAAAGCTCAACAGCGAAGGTAGAACAGAGGAACACGCCGGTTTGACACCGTCGGAAACTCGACGAAGCGCAATCGTTAGAGTGGCAAGTTTGCAGCGCAAACTCGCTGTGCGACAACGAGAAAGAGCGAATCACCGCGGGGGAAGGAACAGGGGGTGCGAGAGAGCGGGGTGATGGCGGTGGATCTTGGAACCATGCAAAATAACAAACGACCTGTTGGCCGCGCGGACGGGGGTGTAATTTTTTAAGTTTAATTCTGCGGTCCCACGTGACAAACGAGTGGCAGCGCTGCCGTCATCCTATGCGTCGACCGGGTATATTTTACGGTGAAAACATGGCTCGTTGTTTCGTTTTTTTTTTTTTTTTTTTATGACATATCGCGCTGTAGCACCTCTCGACTTCTAAATAATTTTATAATTTTGTACAAGAGCTTCTTAAAAAAAAAAAATAAAATAAAATAAAATTATATATAACGATGGAGATTTGACAAATTTTCTGTAGCAGGATTTAAAACAAGAATGTCGCATTTATCATTTGTACTTTGTGGCAGCTGTAGATTTTGCTCTTTACCGACGATATGCAAATGTATGTAATAGAATTAACGATTGTGTGTCTCTTTCTCTCTTTGTGCAGGGGACGAAGAGTGGGACGGCAACGAGCAGAATGTCCTGGAGGCGGCCGAACAGGATAACGAAACGACGGCGATTAAGCGTGAGTGTTATTTGTTAGACTGCCAGCTCTCTCTCATGGACTTTTCTTTAGTATTTACGTACAACAGGTGGCAGAGTGTTTGCACAATGTATCATACGAGATAAATAAAACACATTTTCCACACTTTATATAACAAAAAATCGCTAAAGTAATTAGACAAAAAGACCTACACTAATTAAATTATTTATTTGTGAATTACGAAGCTTACTAGTCTTTTACTCAATGAAATAATATAATGATATATAAACATTGATATATTAAGTACAGCATATTTGTCAAACATAATTTGTCACATAATAATTCATGAATAAATATTGAATGCAATTTTTTCTTGCGAATGATATAAAGTATAATGTTGATTTTGAATGTTTCAGAAGACGACGAAGAAGAAGAGGAAGAGGAAGAGTTGCAGCGGGCGTTCAGCCGTCAGTCAGCAGAAGGTAGGAATTATTATATATTTAGATTAATAAAATAATAATCAACAATCATAATCGCCTAGATCGTAATATATCTGTTCTCGCGCGCGTAAATTTTTTAAGTACCGAATTTAAATCTCAAATATTTTCGGAAGCATATCGAGTATGAAAAAAAATATACAATTTTTCTGGATGAAGACCCTCGATCCTGAAAAATCAATTACTTTGCGCAATACGAACCGCGTTCGTTCTCCTTTGCGTAACAATGCGAAGAAATTGCGAGAGAAAGAGAGAGAGTGAGGCGGACAGTCGTCGCACGGTGCATTCCGGTGCATTACTCGAATTGCCCTACGGGCGGGCAACAATGCGTCGGGATGCATCGTCATTGTTCGAAGGTGTTCAAGAAGCGCGATCCCGCTATAAATCTCATGAATATGGGATTCCTTGGCCCCCGGAGGACTCGCCGGGACGCGCGACACGTACCCATCCCAAGCATGAGTGCACGTGCATCGAACAATATGCTGCATCGCACATTTTTCGCCTCTTTCCCGCGCACGAAGTAAAATGAGGCGCGGCGACGTCGGTTTTCTCCTGTCGGCGGAATGACAGGATTTGTAATTCTCGTTGTGGTCACACGGCTGTTGTGTCCGCCAAATATGCATGTTGGATTATTTTATATCGAAGTACTTCATCGGCATTCGAGGTCAATGAGAAACACGGCGCGTGCTTTTTTTATCGCGCAGAGAGCGCAGAATATATTTCGCATTTTTTCAAATACAAATTATTATAAATTTATCTCTTGGATAATAGTGAAAGTCGTGAAATTATGAATAACAAAATTATAGAATTTTAAATTCTCCTATTGATCGATCCGCGATTTTATCCAATTTTTTTTTTAATTCGAATTAATTTTACCAATTATACGAACAAAAGACCGAAGTCTTTCGATGTACGTTTAATTTGATCGTCATTCAATTTTCGGTCGCGAGTGCGAATCGCCGATATAAATTTTCAATTGTCGCCGATGCAGGAGAATTCCGGAACAGATTAAACGAATAGTATCCCTCTCGCGACGTCTACTTTTTCGTTTCTTTCGCGCGGTCCCCTGACAGTTTCTTCTATCCGAACTATTTTTGCGCTAAGTAAAATTTCCGCGTCCCTTGTGTGCGCGCGCGGCGCGGCGTCGTGCCCTGTGGTACCGTCCCTGTTACGTAACTAGCGAAACTGTCTCGAAAGATTCGTACCTTTCCCAAGTATCCAGCAGTTTTCCTCCCCGAGGAGGCCGGGAAGATCAAACCTTTATCCGCTCCCCCGTATACGTATATACGGCTCGATTATTATTTCAGGTTACCTTTCGCAAAGTGTACTTGCGCGCGCGCTTTATACCCAGAGGTAAAACCAGGCTTGGAGAAGCTCGCGAAGAACGAGGTTGCCTCCCGCAGGAGGCGGCCCAAGCTCCCGCGGGAGATGCCTCGTCCGTCTGCTTACCTGAAAACATCGAGCTCTGCCTTCGCTTCTTTAATGCTCCGTGTACCTATGCCGCTTATTAAACCATTGGGACATCGTTATTCTTTCTCTCTTTCTCTCTCATTTCTTCGATCCGATAAATGTATACTAATGCCTTCGCTCTTATTGATTTAATATTGTTGATTATGAAATTTTTAATCAGATTTTTTCTCTAGTTAATGTAAGCGTCTTTTAAAGTCAGGTTTTTAGGGGGATTTTGACTTTAAATATCTGAAAAGATAAATCTTTCCACGTGCTTGATAAATGTATTTGATTTGTAATCTCTTTCATATTTTTTTAATGATGATACATTATCTCGATAAGATAGAACTGTATACACCCGCTTTAAGCAAAATACCGCAATGAGAATACCGGGTCAAAGTATCGGCTAAGATATTAGTGCCGAAGTTATACGTTTCACTTTCGAGTCCTCGAAGTTTGCCGTTCAACTTAGCGGTACGTATAATTAGTATGATACATACCGGTATGTATATTCGTACCTTTTTCATCAAACTTCCAAGCTGGACACGTTAATACGTGTTGTCCCGATCATTTTCAAAGATCAATACGTCCAGTTTATATCTAGTATACGAAGAGAACCATCATAGGGGGTTTTCGAAGAAACACAATTTTCTCTATAGCAGAGTCTATGAGCATATATTATGAGATTATGCCTATTCTCGGTATCGCACATACATTTTCGCGACCTTTATCAGGCACATTAATAATTCAATAGACGATTTCGGTATGCCGCGAGATGCAATAACGCGTTTACTACCCTAATTTATTTAAGGCGAGGCGATAATTAATGCGCGGCACATATCGCCCTGCGGCAACAAGAATTTCTAGCGCTTATGACGCGCTATCTAATCATGCAATTATTCCATCGAGACGTCTCTGCATCCTAGAATTGCAGAATCGCATCGATCTCTTCAAAATATCGGTTTAAATAACATTCAAACATCAATGAGCGCAAAATCACAAGACAAAAATATTTTCAATAATAAATCTGTAGAATCTTCTCAACAAATTTTCTTCTCAAATATATTTAACAATTTAATAGTATACCATTAAAATAGAAATTTAATATATTAAATTTCGGACTGTTTTCGACAGTTATTGCATAATTTATTGCATAAAGTATTATACACGTCTGCAAGAAGTTTATATTGTTTTTGCATTTGAATCATGTCAAGGCGCTATTTTGAAACCATATCGTTGGACGATGTAAGGGGATTTCGGTTACGAGATAATATATCGACATAATATGTAGCGCAGGGATCACCTTCGCCACCTGCGTCACCCTATCAGCATTTCGAAAGGAATTGGCCCACGTGGCAATTCTTCTCGTCGTATTAGAGACATATAGACGACTATGACGTAGAACCACGCCGATCTTTTAAGCCGAAGCTTCCCAAACCTGAAATAGCGTTTCTCGATATTTTTTTTAGGACCCATAAATAAAAGTAACAATTATAACACATTTCCCATACTCCATATCGCGCCATATCACAGTTCTCGTATTTAAATATAATTGTCTAATTGTAAGAAAAAATACAAAAGAATCATACATTGCTAGATTAAAATGGATAAAAAAAACATAAGCTTGATGCTAATAATACTCGTGTGTTTGCAAAGATAGGAACGCGAATCTTGAACATGACACTTCGACTCGCGCGGGACATCGCTAATGACTTCTCAACGAGCTTCTGGTAACACGACAGAGGCAAGTGTTTAAACAGCCCTACGCGTTTGTGTATTATTATCATTATCCGGGGAATATCGACTTCTCCTTTCTCCGTAACGGTGCACACGGAGAAAGGATCGGAGATAGAGGAAGAGAAAGGACGTGCGCGAGTAAATGCAGGTTAACGCCTTATTGCAGTCGTCAGATGAAGAAATAATAGAAAGAGAGAGAGAGAGAAATCGACCTTTGAAGGGCCGCTACAAGTCATCCCCGCCGGGACTCGATTATTCAGCCGGTCGAGTTATACACCCGCAAGCTTTTCTCTCTTCTCTCTCTCTTCCTCGTTATTACACGCAAAACATAGCCAATTAGCGATCGTCGATGTTTTTAAGCCCCCAACATTTTTTTTCTTTTTTTTTTTACGGGATACTCAACCTTCTCTCACTTTAGATTCCAAATATATAAATGATCAAAATGAAGAGATATATCTTATGTTTATTTAGAATCGATTTTAATGACTGTGCACTTGTGGATTTTACAAGTATTTTAATATACGCATATTAAAATAATATATTGAAATTTTTTTTGTTAACTTCAACATAATTACGAATTTATATACTTTTAACTATTGACCAACTAGCGTATATACATAGCTTTCTTATCTCGTGAACGTCTTTCTCTCTCTCTCTTTCGTTGACGAATCACTAGTGTCTCGGCGAAAAGTAATGCGAGCTAAATTACACGACGCGCAAAACTTTGGTGGTGCTCGCCGTAGAAATTGTCGGGCGGATAAGCGAAAAGTTGCCGAGCCCGCTCTCGTGACAGATTGAAATCTCTGACATTAAGAAAATGGGGGATCTCGAATCCCGATGGGAAAAGCCGGCGCACAACTCCTCGGGCCCGATGGTGGGTGACGGAACGGCGGTGGTCGACGGGAAAGATTGTAACATCACTTGGAATATCTCTCTCTCTCTCTCGTGAATTGTCTCGTAGGATTTTGCGATAATTGCTGTGACAGATTCGATGGAAATTTGCGACGCAGCGAAAAAAAAAAAAGAAATGGAAATACTTTGTTTGTAAATCATAGCAGATTATATTATATTTGTTGCTCGAAAATGGTTCACACATAGCATATATAAGATATATAATTTTATTATAGCATAATTTTTCAGTATAATAATTGATTTGAGAAATGTGTAAAGGGGTCCAAGATTTTTTTTTGGATTTCGAGAAATATGAGATATGAAACAGGAGAACGCGCGATATAAAAGCTAATTCGTGTTCAAATCCATTTCTATGATTTACAATTACAAGATCCGGAACGTAAAAAAAGTAATGAACGTAAAACACATAATCGCATATCGGGCGTTCTTGATCTTGACTTTCCTCCGGGAAGTTGGAAAGTCCTGTAGAGCCGTATACAGCTGCGACCGAGAGAGCGGAGGCTGTGAAGAGAGTAAAGAGGGTGGGCGCGGCAGGGGATCAGGGGGGAAGGAGGGTATATTATGGGGAATGCCAGGGGAATCCCGAGGGACCCTAAGAGCAGCCCCGTGCGCATGCGTCGAGCTGATTAGTTCACCTCCTACCCTTCCTCTCTTCGCTCCGCTGCTGTCCTCTCTCCCTCTTTCGCGTTCCCGAGTGCTGGCAGCGCCAGAGGAGAGCACGGACTCCCTCGGGACTTGGCCTCTTCGCGCTCACCTACCCTCTCCTCTTCATCGCTACTTCTCTCTTTCTCTGGCTTCATATATATATATATATATATATATCCGCTCGTCTCTTTCTTCCTCCATATCTCGCGCGTTTTCTCTCTTTCTCTCTCTTCGCGATTCTC